AAGATGAAACCAATCATGTAATTTTATGCTTAATTTATCAATATAATTGTCTTTAAAATAAACAATGAACTTGGTACAAATTACAGAATCTCATATTGAAAGATACAAAAATTTGTTTCTATGTATCAAGCATATTTCTTTAACTGAGACCGAGTATGTTAATGATGTTATATGAAGAAATGATAGTCGTTACAGATGATTTATGTGCCATGACAGCTCATTTAAATATGAATATAAATTTCTCATGAAATAAAACATCATTGATGAATGAACTTCGATCTAGGGAAAGAATACCTAACCAGCTGGAAATAAGACTAGAAAATTAAGTTGATGAGTACAAAGTAACATTGTGCCAAAAAGTTAAAAGTTAATAATTTATTTATCATCGAAGTGAAAAATGCAATCGTATGTATATACAAATATAAAACCAAATTGCATAATGCGCTATTTCTCAATACCCTCAACGTCTTCATATTTTTATAATGGCTCCTGCTTCTCTATACCTCATCTTTAGCTTATTCTGTAAGCCTTAAAAAGCCAATGAATGGTGAGATGAAATAACCAGTCAGTTGTTAAACTTAGATACCAGTACATCGTGATTGGTTTAGAAGCGCGAAATCGTTAGCCCTCACTACATATATTTCTTACCATTATAACTAAAATTAGTTTAGCTAATGTTACCTGATCAACTTTAAATCAATTATAATTAATTTTAAAGATTCTATTTTAATTTACTAGATATTGAATAGAATATAAAGAAATTAGTTGCCGTTTTGTATGATAAACGGAAGCTTAGATTTTTGGAAACATTTGAAATTCATTGTTGGGTTGATTCTTGAACAAACACACTAATCAATTTTATGATCTAACACTATAAAATGTGTTTATTCACTTATTCCAGTCATTAGAAAACGGGATATTTTCAACGTTGAAGTTACAAAGATACAAATATTTGACGAAAATTGAGGAAAAAAAAACGTTAAAGATAACACATTGACCGTGTAATACGAACTACAAGTTACCATTCTGAAGTTTTTTGATTAAAACTTGTTCATGGTTAAATAATGATTAGATACATCGTTAATCGCTGATAATATAATGTTGTCAGTGAACAGAAGTGAATGATGTTTATCTAACAAACGTGGTGATATTACTTATGATCCTGTTGATATACCAATACAAATGAAACAATTCATTGACTTGAAAGAACTTTGTCAATCTCAATTTGAATTAAAAGGCATAATCATGACCTTTGTTCCTTTAATATCATCGTCCCATCATCTACATATTATTTAAAGATTTTGTAAATTAAATAAGAAAACTTCATTTTTTTTTAGTTTTTCAAAGAATAATTTACTTGTTTATTGATAACAAATCATTTTTGTGGATTCATTAAATGCATCCATCAACAAGTATGTTGACATAAACCCATACAAAAATATATGTGAAACAACAAATTTAATTATCAAAATGAGAAGGAGAAAGTAAATTTACATTGAATTTCTAATTAACCTAAATGATGTGGTTGTTACACATGTTCTGACTTTCAGTTAACCTTTTTAAATCATTTCTATTATACATAGCAATGAGTCATTGGCAGATAATTGATTTTTCTCTTCGACTCTACTTCATTGCATTCTCGAAATGTAACACTTAGAGACTGACTAACCAAGTTTATTTTGGCTTTGGAAAATTTTGTTCTATTTTGATGACTTTTTTTCTTGAGGCAGGTCCTAGTCCTAACTTCAAACTCATAAGTGTTATATCAAACAATGAATCTGAGAACGCTGACGTTTAGTTGATACTTATTCAATGAATTTCTAATTCGATCCATTCATTTGTTAAATCATCTAAAATTATTTATTTGCCCTCATTCTTTTCTCAGAGAGAATAGGTATGATTCAGGTACTATTGAATAAAGATCATTATCTGTTCACAAAAGTGGCATTATCGTGGATCTGTATTCATAGAGTCTGAATAAATTTCCCTTTAGATGATACATATATATCAGTGTGTGTGTGTGTGTGTCGGGGAAACTTAAGAAAGGTCTATATTATTAAACAGGAAACCATGTGGTTTTTTTAAAATAGTCTACAGATTATGCAGAAATGTATTTTTCTGTTTTAAATGAATGTTTTAAATTTTCTAATACGCATGTTAAAAATCACAATTTTTGTATAAAATACATCTGGAGCGAGTTATGTAATCAAGATAACCATCTGATTTTATTGAACAAAATATGAAACGAACATTCTTTTCCTTCTAAATGTTAGTCTGATTATATCATGAAATTTATGATTGTGTTTGTCTTATAGAGAGAGAGAGAGAGATCATATGACTCATTCTAATTTTAACGTTCTTTTCAATAGTGTTATGTTTACTTACTTACTTCAACTGCATTTCATTCATGGTTATATTTAAAATGAAATTATTCCATATATAACATGTGTAATTTGATTAATTAACTCAGTAACAGTCATTTTCTTAGTTTATCTGATGACAAAAACAAGTGTATGATGAATTGGTTAAAAGTAATATTATCAGTTAGCGAAATCATTTTAAGGCTAACCAATAATACAAAATGAAATCTGAGAATGATAAATTTATTTTCAAAGAAATGATTTATATGCATGTAATTCCTTAAAATGTAGTAAATTCTATATTGTTGTTTAATTTTATTTTTCTATTCAATTGGATAGAAGTTTTGTTGAAAAGTAGTTTAATACTCAACGAAGGCTGAATACAATCATATCTCTGTCATTTACTTAACTGTATAGTATGCCTGAAAAATGTATTTCAATTGATATACATAACTACGAAAAGCCAAGTTAAGTTAAGCTGTATGTTGGTGGGATGAACGGAGGCGCAAATGTGTTTAGTTGTTTTATATACACAGATTTTAATATCCTCTACAGGCTTTTAAATTGACATGGTTTGATAATGAGTTTGTAAGCGTTAGTAACAGTCTACATATAACTTTGTGAGTTACGATGCAGAACCTATTTGAAATAACTTCTAATTATAATAGTTAGCCAAAATTTGTGTTTCTAGGTTTTGATGTAATCAAAGGGACCTGAAACGTAAACATCTCATGAAATTTTGTTAAAAACAGTTATGTTAATAATTAAGGATCATATCCAATAACTACCACTAGCATTCATGATATCAGAATTTCAACAGCTGCTTCATAAAACTAGACTTTTTAGAATTTATCAATGTAGTGTTCTTAGGTGTGTATAGTGATAAATTTACTCAGAGAACTATTAGACAATCTTTAAGATAGACCGATTGTGGCTAGCAGTATAACCCATAGAGTGTATTTTGTCCTGTTTGAGACTCATCTGGTGAATGTTCCCTAGTGTTGTTGTTTACAGTGATATTTAAATCCAGTCAGATGTTTTATTATTATTTTATGTGATTTAATTCAATAACATCACAGATCAACCATGAATCTCATTAGCATTACAAGGTTAGGTAAAACGTTAATAAATAAAATGCGACGCCGAAATAGTAAAAGTCTGGTATCTAAAAGTCTACGATGAAGTTTCATAATTCGTAAAATATTTTTCAGGATGACAGCATGTTTAAAGTATGTGTTTAGCAATAATTCGTTTCATTCTGCTGACTTTATTTTGTACGATCATTATTCCCACAATATCAAACCATACGCAGTTTATGGTTTATTTGAAATGGATTACCAAACCAAATGTTACTTTTGCCATATGAGATTTCGACGCCATCAATTATAGTTGTTATCGTTTTTCACTAGCATATTTTTTTCATTTATTGTACTGCAAATTATGTATAGTGAATGATAAATTGATGTTTACTAGACACCCAAATGCCCTGGTATGGCCGAGAGTGGGATGGGCCCACCCTCCCTCTCGAAATGCTCTCACATGGCCACGCGTATACAGCCTCTGCCAGGGAAGTCCTACTCACTGCCTTCTCGCACCACGGGTGTTGTTTACGAAAATGAGAGGACGAAAAGCGAATGTCTGGCGCTTTAACCGGATCTCAAACCAATGGTGCACATGGGCTCCAGTATCCTGAGGGAACAAATGGCGTATGAACCAATCGTTGGTCACCGGCTACCATGGGACAGCATCTCCTCACGATGCCCCACTGCCTTGTGGATCAGACCTTTAAGTCAAAGGCTCGGGGTGTGGTCCCCTAAGAAAACCACCTGCTTCGGTCTGGGCACCCGGGCAGTATCGCAGCTGACACACACAAATATGGTGTGGCGCATATATATTTGGTGCCCTCTTGTACCAACATTTATGTGTTGAAATAAATAAATAAATAACAGAACTTATGGATGAAAGCCTAATTTTATTTAATGTTGTTCACCCTGTTTTCATGTAGCAGCATTAACCGAGTAGATTTTTTCCTAAAACAAAATACACTAGTTAATGAAAAATTTTGAATTGGATGTACAATGTTTTATTGAAGTTATTGAGAAAACAGTTGATTAGGACCATTGTATAGATTTTCTTCCCATATCGTTTACTATCACAAGGTAGAATCCACGGCATGTTCGCGCTTGATAAAGAAGATTGTCGTCTCAACTAAGTTGTAGTTTACACTTTTCAAAGCGCGTTTTGTTACACGATATTGACATTCTCAGAGCAGATGAAAAATCTTTTCCTCATAAATCAAACATATCGAAAATAGTTAACAGTTCCTGATCATGATAATGTAGTTTCGGCGCACTTTTATCATTTTATTCATTCGTAGATCAATCTTATTTTGCTAGTATTTGATAGTATTTACATGTATGAATGTTAATAAACTTGCTTACTGAGATTGTTTCAGGAACTCTAACAAACACTGTATGAATCTTTTAAAGCTGTTCATCTCTCATCGAAGGCAATATTCATTTATCATGGATAATTTAAGTTCCTGAATTCCTCGCTTAATAGTTATTATTGATTGGCTACTCCATTTTTACATGACAACTGATCATCCTAAGGGAATATATGTTTTTTCTGTTCATTTAGATTTAGATGAAAAATTCCAACTGGAACCGGTTTCTACAGATTTAGCTGTCAGTAAACGTCTTGTGCTAACGTGCCTACCACCTGAAGGAGATCCTAATCCTGAAGTAGGTTGATTCGTTTATTATTATTGATTGTTTTATACCTGTTAAAATAAGATGAATACTAATAGTACTGAATATCTTACGTGCTTATACATGTTTTGTTTTCCAGCAACTTTCTGCATATTTTCTGTTAGTATGTTTACATATTGCTAAGTACGCATCGATTATATGTATCATATTGTATTATTAGACCGTGTGAGTACCATGATTATGATCTTTGTATGAGTCAGGACAATAAACATTGTGAACAATATTTATGATGTACAGAAACGTTCAGACAATATAAAACAATAGGTTCAGTAATTTGTAGAGTACAACAGTTAAGCAAAGAATGATAACCCATCATGAAGTTTGTCGATTTAATTAGTTTATATGGTTTTGGGGAACAGAATATACCTCTATCAAGTGAGAACTACGCCTTTTAACCAGATGTGAAGTAATTAGGTCAACGTCATCAGTCAAGTAAATTTATAAAATAAATGGTGTTTCAACCCGTTCCTTTTTTCGATAAACTGTCAGCAAATGAAATCTTTAAGCTTTTTTGCTTTCTTGAGCTGATGGAATATAAATGTTGTTATTATGACCATCTAAGCAATGCCAATGGAATAGTTTTATGCTTAAACAACAAGAAAATGGAAATGTAATGATACATGCTAATTAATCAAAGTAATTCTATTGTAAAGATAATCCATTTGTACAGATAGCGAAAATGTCAACATAGTTACATCATTTTAGCTTGATGACTAAATATTTCAGAGGGTAAAGAATACCATAACACCCATATCTGTTAAAGTATAATTGACTTTTATGACCTAGTTAATAAAGATGTATGGTTTTGAAACAATAGTTGGCAATCCAAGAATATCTAGTAAACATTCAATTTACTAGTCTCATATAAAGCGACATACATCTTGAGAATTTCGTTCGTAGTCACCATTAAACATAAGATCATAATTTCGATGTTATATTTTACACGATACTTTCAATATCTGATCTCTGTTAAATGTTCATAAATTTCATTTTTTAGACAATTGACTGTTTTCTAAACAAAAGTTGTATAGGTATTTCATATAATTGCCAGTAAAATTCGGCTTCTTCACAATAAATTCACTCTGTGAAGTCGAATAAAAAGGTACACAAAATGTCTGTTTGTTTAATGTACCTCATTTCTTATCTAAGAAATAAAGCAACTGATCAACACTGAATGATGTGTAAAAATGTAATATGTAAAAAATAATTGTGAGCTTAGATGGAAACTGATGTGTAGACGAGAATGATATTGATTGGTTGTTTGTTTAGTCAGACTTGTAGATAGTCCGACAAGCGTTAGATGAGCTATATATTTCCCTATCCTTATTATTATTGATTGTTCCTGGTTTTTGGTGTGGAAATATATTTACTTTCTAGTCAGGCTAATCATGTGTTCTTGATTAGAGTTGTATTGAAGTCCTGTACACTAGACACTGAAAAGGAAGCTAGTGTAGATATTCGTCTAAGTTAAATTAACGTCCCATTCGTGCAGACGAAGAACCCCGAGCGTTATAACCGAAACATTCTTAAATTTCAGTCTTTTTTACGGTTTCTGAGTAACGTACTTTATAATTCTAATGAGGTTTGAAAAATAATACCTCTGACGAATTTTATTATTAATCCAAATTTAGATGGTTTCTAAATTTTGAAAGAAAAGGTAAGTGAAATACCCAAATACTTATTGTACTAGTTTTAGGAAACAACTGCTTGATATAGCCTTGAACGTTTTATGTCATATCTCAGTGTTGTCATGAATTCGGTGCAAATGCGAAAATCCGATGTTCGAGTAAATCGACTTTAAAGGGTCCAGGGAAAAAATATACTTATATCACAAATTAGGACTAAAAAGTAACATCAGTTATGAGAGGTCCTGTTGAAATTATGTTTCACAGTAACAAATCATATACTTTTTCAAATATACGATCAGGAATTACGTAACTAACATTGGGTGCATACAGTAGATCCTATTAACTAATATTTTAGAAATTTTAACTAAAAGACTGAGGAAACTTTCTTTTCCCCGGTATTTTAAGAAACTATATAGGCACAAATGTGGTTATTGTTGATTATAAAAGTTCAGACTGAACAAAATTTATGTTTTTCTTTTGACAAAATCCCAATCTCAATCTTATTTTTCAAATAGTTTTGTCCGATGAACGTCACTTTAGGACTGTAGTTTTCAGTTACTAGAACTGTAAATGAAATTCTACATCAGGAAGTTTGTTGAAATAGTTATGAGTGACAAATTTCTGAATTCCGTTTAAACAAAATGACTAATTTTTTCTATATTTATTTTAGCTAACTGTTTAAACTGTGCGATTAAATAAGTCACCATTCATTCTTGTCATATTTTTAAAAGAAAAAAAATAGTCTAAAGACATCAGTGAGACGGTAATAATTTTATATGAAACTAATTAGATTTACTAAGATTTTCCCACTTGTTCCTACTACTTATTCCTATCTATAATAATGATTGATTTGGAATTAAAATTCCTGGTGAATTTACATTAGGAGTTTACTATGACAGTATCTAGTCAAACGTTAGTTAGTAAGCATAATATTTTTTTTCAAAAATAAGAAGATATCGACTTATCACTTTCAGTAATTCAGCTTCATTTATTATTTATTTTAGTGAGGAAAAAGAAACGACGAAAATCTTAGACAAACATTCATTCAGTTACTGACAACTTTAAACTGAAAATGTCACATGGGCACATCATTATTTGTAGACAAACCATATTATTTTATCGATAATACTACTAATGCATGTAATGTGCATATTTATGGTGCGGCAAAATATTTATCAGATGTAAATTAGCCAAGTGATTTACTCTGATTGTGTAGAAAGAGAAAAAAAGTGTAAATATTAGTAGTGTCTAGTCACCATTATTAGCGTTTACGATAAGAATATCTTGGAAACTAGACGTTTCCGTCTAGTATGTATTTGGTTATGACTGAATGAATTTAGGAATCTCTGTTGCATTTTTAAATTTAGTCTGACATACGATAGATTTCAGCAATACGGAACATTTGATTTGGGCATTTTTTTTATCCACTGATGTGTAAATTAAATTGAAGTAAACATGTTTAATAAAGCAATGGTTAAAGAATCCGTGTTTAGACAGTACTTTTAGGATGAACTTAGTTCAGTTCACTCTGAATGGTTTTGGTAAAGTTTCATGTAGCTCATAAAGCTGACTCAATTTCAAAAATACATTTTGACTCCATATTTATTTGACGACAAAATGACTATTATCACCCTACCAAAAGCTAATTAATTACTCTCGTTCAAATGGACTTCTGCAGGCTTTGTATTTCTGATTCAAGTCTTACGTTAATAATCGTTATCCTATTTCTACCAACCAAGGTTCAAAGAACAAAAATCAGTTGTAAGGTTCACATAATCGATAGTAGATTAAGTGTCTTGGTGTCAAACTACATTAGAATCAGAACGATCTGAATGTAACTTATTTTCTGCGATATATTCCAGATTAGAAGAAATAGGTTAGACTGAATTAACCAATCATTACTACAAAAGTGAGTTTAATTAGGTTTTTAGTAATCATTTTTATATCTGAGTCTCAGGTACTCATGCGAACACAAAACATTTACATTTACCTATAAATATAACCAACGATGGAACGTTCAGTTTCTGTTCTGATTAGTGTACTTTACAATTAAATATTTTCAGGCTACTGAATCTTCCCGAAAAATTAGATATTTTCGTAGTAAAACAGTTACAAAAAGTTTGTTGAATGAAAATTATTTTTTCTGAGTGACAAATTCGTTTCAAAGAAACAGTTTATTATAGATTATATCAACTTAGGCTTTAGTGAAACTATTTTCAATTGGCTAAAATTATTATTTTTCATTTAATTTAATGAAATGTCAGATATAATGAAGATATATTCTACATACTTAATTGAATTTAGGATTGGCGTTTTTCCTAATTGTTCTCATTTCTTATTATCTCAATATTGAGATAATCAGTGACCTCGACCAGTTATCTATAATGCATCTGTCTAGAAGTAAACAAGTGGACTATTAATAAAGAGAACATAAGGCATTAAATACTTAACCTCTGTTATCTATGCTATCCATTAGTAGTAAATAATATATAATGGGGGTGGTGGTGATAATTGTAGCTGAGGTGCGGTGTAGTGAATTATGATGGATTAGACAGGTTTTTTGTTCAGATTAGCTTGAAGATAAATGTCCTAAAATTACAGAAGTAACAATGTTGTCCTTTTTAATGTTATCTAGTAAAATATAAAAATATGAAAACGTGAGATAGATAATGCTGCAAAAGTTTTATTTTCCGGGTAAATCATCAACTTCATAAATGAACAAAACAAATAAACAAATGGGAGAACACTAATAAGCGAATTCACAATAGGAGTGACTAATATATGAGTAGATTAAGTATCTTTAAAATCTAACAAAGAAAACTTTATTAATCATACACATTAAATATTAGAAAATATTTATACATGTATCTTAAAAAAAAACTAGAACAAAATCTAAGGTCTAATGAATGAAGGGTTATCACATGCACAATATATTAAACAACAATTAGTGATATGAAACTGAAACACTTTTTAACATACTTGCAAGGTCTCTTTTACTTTCAATATATAAAAAAGTTAAAGTTAAATTTCTCGATCAAGGTTTTGTTCTTAAATGTGACTATGAACCAATGGTAGTTCTTATCACAAGCTTATATCTAATTACTTTAAAGATAAGGTTAAAATCTAAAAGAACTCAACTTTGTTCTAGTTTAAATATCCTTTATTTTTAATTAGTGTTTAGTTTGTATAAAAGCAGTTTACAGTTCTAACATGGAGGCATATTTTCTTACAACTAACTAAAAGTTTGTGAAAGAAATAATTCCCATAGGCTTGAGTAAATCCGAATGAAAATCCAAATAACTATTATTAATCCCATTAAACTAAGTGTAATACTACGGTATTACTAAACATGAAAACATCCTGGCTACCGCTAATGGAAATCATAATTACGAGATTAAATTACTAGGCAGGAGAGAATATCAGTTTTTAAATGAGCTCAAAGGGTTTTCTGATATGATTTAGAATACGATAAAAGTTAAGCGTTGATGAAGAAAATATATTGATGAAGTCATTTATGCTTAATAAACTTTATATCACATAGGTCTATTTAGACTCTTATTTTCATAAGTAGGGGTCTTTTATGTTTATTTTGTAAAATAAAATAAAATACCAATCCAATTAGAATGTTGTAATATGCCAAACCACATTCAAAAATGCCTTGTAAGTAATTTAGAAGTAAATATTTATAGTCATAAATTTATGTGTGCAGTTTGTAGTGGTTTTGTTTGGTTAATCGATTACCTCGATAACCGTTATAATAAAAATCTCAACGGTGATTAAAACCAGACGGCAATGAGAAGTGGTAACTACAGTTTATTAGCAGACAACGTAGATCACAAAGCTATAAACACATCAAGCGAATTTGAAGCAGAAAAGTGAATATATATGTATGCGAACAAATACAAAGGCAAATTTATAGTCGAACCGCCCAAGGTCTCAGCAAGGCAAAGCAAAGGCTAATAATAGGATTCGCGTACATACACATGAATCATCGAGTGATAATTAAGCAATCAACATTTTAGCTAGTCTGTCATGTGGTCTAGTGATCACATGCGAATTGTTACTGTTCTAATAACATTGTCTGTTAAGTACGTTAATAAAAGGTCTTAACCAAAATTAGCCATAATCGAAATTGGTTGTAGGATAGTTGCCGTAAATTAGCTACATCATTATTTAATTATACCACTTAAATTTGAAGGTACTATTACATCTCTCATACATCAATATTGGAATAAATTTCCCTACTATAGTCGTTATAATACTTTTTCTCAGTTAAACATACCCAGATCCAATAAAAGCAATGAGCAAGTATATATGTATGTAATTTAGGTAATAGATGTTTACTCAGTACGTTTAATAAAACGTGTTTGTAGAAATGAAGAAGGAACACATTTATTCAATAAAACAATTGATGAAATACTATTTTTTCAAAAATATAACACAGAACTCTTGACTTACTAATATTTTTCCAATAAATGGGATCAGTATAAAACCTATCTCAGCTGCATCCCAATAAGTTTCACGTTTATTTCAAAGTTTTGTTAGTAAGATGAAATTTAACTGATGAACTCTAATTTTTTTTTCAATGTCTAAAATACAGTTTATTGTATTGAGATTAGTTAATAAGAATGTTTTTACCAATACTCAGTATCATTGTATTATTTAAATCGCTGTTTTTCAGCTGAAAACTTTGACAAAAGGGCGTGAAGTTAAATGAATAGTTTTGTTTAGCATATTAATGGTTGATTGCATTTAAGAAATCTAGTTTAGGTAAATAGTAAACGGATATAGCTTTTCTGGTCATTCAGTCGGTCATTCCCGACAAATGTTTGAGTTATTTTTGCTATCACAAAGTTGTATTATTTAAAACGTTTCCAAAAAAAATTAGGAAGATTAAGCACTTGTTTTATTGGTGGACAGTATTCAGCCTAAACGATATTGATTAGGTTTACTACATCCTATTAGAGGATTTTTGGTCTTTAGGCCAATATTAATCGGCTGGTTCATGTGCTTTACCGACAACCAGCCAAGTGAAAATATTATTAAATCATGGCAGACAGTCTAAGTAAACTACGTTGTCAACATTTTCACAGGTATACATGATAGTCTAGCAACACTATGGAGGTGCGAAACTCTATCATTTCATCCTGATATGGATATTTTATTATTTGCAAAGAATATAACTATTTGAATAAGATTGGGATATCTATTTTCTTTTGTATTACATGTAGTGTGTAATCGTCATATCCGAAATAAAATTTCTTCATATGAAACTAAGTTTTTTTTTATTACGTTACAAGAAAAATTCTGTAACGATCGTTACTAACTTTTATCATGCAACCTATGTGATATTCGCTTTCAAAAAACTAACCCACTATCAAACTGTACTCAATAAATTCAAAAACGTAGCTAAAGTCAGTAAGTAGACGAGTAATCTTATCTTATATTCTCTGTCTACTAGAGCTGTATCAACACGTTAAAGGATTATTTATTTATTGCTAAAAGTAGAACATACACGTGAATAGGTTAATTTTTTATGCTAAAGAAGTACTGAGACACTTCTTAAACTATATATCATTTTAGAAACTTCTGATTGACATTTTATTAAAACAAAGTTATGAATAGCAGAATTATTTAAGTGAATGTATTTCTGGCAAGGAGGAAATAATGTAAAAATTAAATGACTGCTATTTTTGCTCATTTGATTATTTTTACCTTTATAGAGAATATAAATATCTACTTGTGCTATTATTATTATAATCTAATGTTTTGTTCTTCCGCTTATATATATGTCATAGTTACTAATTAGCTCTCCTGAGTGAGAAACATACTTAGATACAAGTTGTACTTTTAGGGCTATTATTAACTACAAGCGCACTTGTATACACCAACCACCTAAATAAACACTACTGCTTCAAAAACTAATACTTATTCGCTGGATCTTTATACATATTCATAGTTGGTTTATATGGCTTGATAAAAACTAGGGGAGAAATAGTAGCCATTGATAGGAATATGCTTAATTAGTATGTGAAAGTATTTTTAGAAGTTTTTTAATACAATGTTTAATTTCCTTTTCAAGAAAGAGGTAAATTCATATTGTTTACATGCATTTGTATTTTTTACAGACATTGTCTATCATATTACGATTACAATATCTAATACTGGGTGTAATATAGTCATATAAACAAAGTTTATAATGTAGTTTTAAAAATCCCTAATAATGTTAACACCCATGAATGTTCTAGTAGTGTCATTTAAGAGATTTTAATTACTAGGCGTTTTATAAACGTAATTCGAATCGAATGAAACAAATAATCAGTCTTTTGGAGATACTGCCAGTTAATGTGAAAATACCAGATACTCATCAGAGTGAACTTTAGCAAGAGCCCTTGTTTATTCTATGACCTTAGTTTAACGTAATTTTTTTAACGATTATGATCAGATGAGTGTCCATGAAAGTTTGATTTTTATTTCCTTATATCATCGTTGATGCTCTTCCAAGGAAGATCAAATTGTCTGTCAAAATATCCACCATTTCGGTTAAAAACTTGTTGTGCTTTAGAAATATTATACTCCAAACATCAAATTATTAGCCTGGTTGAAATCTAAATGCCGACTTGCGTATAACCATCGCAATCGAAATATTTAATACTGTTGTTGAACGTTTAGGAATCACAGAAATGGTTTTGTCCTTATGAACAACATAAAAAAATCCTTAAGTCTAGGACTCCCTAAAATATATTATTATATTATTGGAAATACTAAATATCAAGTTATTCCGTAATATTTTTTAACTTAGATGTTCAATATTTCTAAGTCTGTGCCCATGAATTTTTAATACTTCAATCTAGCTCATCTTAGGAATCATAAAAGCCTTCATCTAAATTATTCTAAAACACGATTTGAGTATATGACATCAAAGTCAGGATTTATTGGGTTTGGTCAATAACTCACTGCTCGAAGCCAGGGTGCATTATTCTCTATAATTACCTATTTCATAGGTTGGTTGTTTAGTCCAAAAGTCCAGTTTACCAAGCCTCTCACAAAACTAAGCAAAGTATGCTATGTAATGTGGCGTGATTACTGTTAGTTTTCAAAATAATTATATTATCGCATTGTGTTTAGTGATAGCAATTGTAATGCATGTAATGTGAAATTTCTAAAATATTCTAATCTCCTATCTGATGAAACATCAATGTCTCGAAAGATTACTCATTCATTTATGGTCTAGTGGTTTTCTACAAACTATTTAAGGCTTTTAATAATCTTATTTTGACAGAAACGGACTTTATTCACAAACTGGAGAGTACACTTTCGTAACTAAGCAAAGATTATTTGTTTTTTCGTTTGTATAAAGGCATACGTTACATTGGGATGTAATGTTAATTAATGGGAAAATATCAAGTTTAAGCAGAATACTTATTAAATATTTTAGGTAGATGTCTGTTACTAATAATCATTCCAGAAAAACAAAACCGTAACTTCAGAAGTGTTACTTGAAACATAAATTTATTTAACATTTAACGTTTATGCAAGGAAATATATACAAACTTTTATCATAGACAACAGTATTTCTCACTAACTCTACTGAGGTTTCGACTATCAAAATCAAAATGTCATTCACATTACCACTGATGATTGACCTGTGGATATAAAAGAAAGCCAAGTTTAAGGATTTTAGTTAAACTGTTTACATCGTTCTAAAACAAAATGGTGTTACGAATTACGCGTTTACGTAGTCTATAACATTGGACTAATTTAAGGATTATTTAGTTAGTAAACACCCTAAAAGTTACCTTTTTGATCATCTAATTTATAGAAAATTAAGTACCTTAATCATTGTTTTCTTTTCTATGTGTTAGTTAAACTTTAATCAAATAACAAAATCACTCTACTCACGTTGATTCGTTAAAACTGCTCAATAAAACTTAAACTGAATAAAAAATTATAATTTTGAGGAACTTACTAGATTGATTTAAGATTCAAAGTAAAAAATAATGGTAACTGTTATTGTCGATGAATATGAGTATGGGATTTCTTTCAGTGGTAAATTATTCGATGAATTTGTGAACGTTTTTAAAACTCAAAACGGTTGGAATCTAAATTATGCATCCTTAGCCCGCATCCGCGATAAATATAATTTAAACTAGATGTATGAATATGGAAATACGAATACCACTTAGGAATTAGTGGAAAGATTTGAACTAATCAAGAGTTTGAACACTGAACATTTTCTGAATTTATTTATTTATTTTTGGATGCTTTCTTGGTTTCGATCCCCTCAAAAAACAAAGATCAAAGTAACCTTTTATTCTTTTATCATCTTAATTTTAGGTTTATTGGTTAAAAGATGGGAAGCGTGTTGATACTAAATCGTTTCCACATATTGTAATTAATGACTATAATCACTTGATCATAGAAAATACAACAACTGCAGATAGTGGAAATTATACATGTGTAGCAGCCTGTCTTAATGGTGAGAAAAGACGTGCAGTTGCTCGAGTCAATATTTTCCGTAAGTCCGATTGATAATGTTCTTCGTTTAAATTAACGCCCTCACTAACAGTAAGCTGGTAACTCATTCAAAGTTTGTTGCAATAAATTTAGGATTGTCTATATTACTCAATATACGTTTGACTAACTATCAGGAAGTGAAGTTTTGTTTTTTGCCAATCAAGCAAAAGAAATTACTGATGCTTTTCCACATATGTAACAATATCACGACCATATCATGTCACTTTTTAGTTAAATGAGCAAATAAAATGTATATACAAAGTTTACCAATAACTCAAAAACTCAAGTGTATGCGCTTAATTAAACAGGATGGTAAGTCATGTTTGTGAGAGTTCTACAAATTCCTAGTGACCTATTTACATAAAGTAACGTTGATTATGGTAGGACAATGTTTTCCGTCAAAAAAGACAATTTGTTTTTTTCGACATGGACAAATGTAACTATTTCATTGAAAAGAAAGTTGTTTAGCTTTAAAAAATTACACCACACATATTACTGTGCCAAGTTGACTTATGTAGGTACATCGATTCAATTTCAAGTTGCATGTGCTCGTATTTTATTTAAAATTACCAGTAAAAATTACTTTTAATAGCTCATCGAATTACTTTTAGTGATTTCACAGATAAATAATTGCTGGTTTTGCAGACCTAATTGGGGTTACAAACTCTGGCTATTATCATTAGGAATTCCCAGATATTGAGTTGTCTACCTGTTTATTTATCATGTTGGTTTATAAATTCAAACAAGTAAAACCTTCACCTCTGACTACAAATGCTAATAACTAATACTACGTTTCATACTGTAAATAACAGCCAGTTAGTTTCCCCTTTCATCTTAAAACTAGAAATAAATTAAGGAGCTATTAGGATCATCAGACACAGGGTGTTTCGTATTTTCTACATTAAAATATTGGAATTTTTTAACCATTATTAACATTGCGATTTGAGTCAGCAGTTTGTAAATAGAAAATGGCCTCGTCTTATGAAACAAATAGTGTGTAGAAGTAGTTATCAATTGGAAATTGACTGATTGGAAACTGATTTTACAGTAAATTTTTATTTCAACGTCCAAAAAAATTGTGATATTTCAGTGAAATTAACTCATTCAACGATGAGCGTACAGGAAAATATTTGCTACATTTGTACTCATGTATAATAAATGTGTTCGCACATTTTTACAACAACCTCAATCACATTAGCTAACAACCACCTAATATAATATTTCAAGTGACTAACTAATTCTTTTTAATTTACGTTGGATTATCTAAGATGAACACTTTATTTCAGAGTTTGCATTGTTGTCCTGCACATTATGTTATCCGTTTGTTATACTGAAATTAGTGTTTTATTATAGTTTCTAACTGCGAATTAAGTTTGAGAATACTTGACTAAAATTTAAATTCTCAAAAATACTTTCTACTTACTACCTTTAGCCTACAATTCTGCCATGAATCGACCGGTAGGTGGTGATTTGACTAACTGGGGTGAGTGGGGAACATGCTATAAAGTCATAGCAGAAGGAAGCAATGCTCGAACAGTTTGTCAACAAACCCGCCATCGTATATGTGCCAATCAAATAACATCAAAAAATGAATTTAAATCAACTGATATGAGTAATCTAATAACAGATCAGTGTCCTTTGCCTTTATTCCAGACAAGAAATTGCTCTTCCATTCAGTGTATCAGTAAGTAAAATTTTGTCTATCTAAACCAATGGTTTGAGTAATATCGTTCCCATTCTGGTAATATTCTAAAAATCATTGCCTAACTTGAAGTCACGACCAGGACCTGGATATGTGATGACATGCTGTTGAAAATACAACACACTTGTCAATTTTTAGATTATACGAACCAGCTGATATTTATTTTTCAAGTAATATGTTACAGATAAAACCATTGTGAAGTAGAATAATAAGGTAATATGATTTACAGAGTAAAATTGACTGAAGCAAACAGGTTGGGAAAAATTTGTCAATTTTGTAAAGCAACTAATTAATACTTTAGACTAAATATGTATAAACGACCAGAAATAAAAAAGAGATACTACTCGAAAAAAGCTAATGATTTCCAGCGCATTTGTCAGAGGTTTTCCTTATTGTCAAGCAAAATGTCGAATGAATTAGGGGCAAATAAACACCAGAAATATGCTAATTTCTAATTAGCCAACTGTATGATATAAAGTTAAGTGAACGTGCTTGTCTTCACATAACCTGAATAATTTCAGCCGAACAAAGTAACTGAGTGAATAAAACTTTGAATTTGAGTAATTCATTGTAAAACAGAAGCAATTATAAGTATGATATAAAAGCTTACATCATATTTGAATAATGTTGCTGGTTAAATTCAATTTTTCAAGCACTAGAATTCAAAGGACCATTAAATTATTGTTTTTTACTTCATTAACTAATCTGAATTATTATATTAAAGTATTTTTGAAATACCTAAAAATTGGACAACGGTATACATTTGATCAAGTTTACTTTTGTTCAATTTATGTACTTTTTAAGTGATTTACAAGCCACAAAATTTTTAAAGATGTTTGATAGACACACTTTTGTACTTCAAGAGGATGAATGTCTATTTTGATTTTAGTCACTTACATCGTATTTTGTGGATGGATATTTTAATCTATCGTAATATAAAATGTTATTAGGCATAAAATAGTTAGTTTCGTTTAAGTGAACCTATACACTTAACAACCAATTAAACTTGATCTTCATTTTAAACTTGATACATTATAATTAGCAGAAACTAAACGAGATAATAGCAGGGTGTGTGTAATGAATTTTACCCTAGAGCTTAGAGCGAATTCAGTAGAATACTTTTTGTTAGTTTACAAATTACCGACAAATTTATTAGAGGTTTTGTTTTGTAATCTCAAAAAAAACATAAACTATAGATTGCACAATATGTTTATCTGACAAAAATTATTTATGAGTATTCTATTTTTCAGTTTCGCATATCACGTAAATTTACCTTTTTTTAGATTCCATGAATAACGTCGTTCTCAAGGGAATTCACCTTTCAGATATAAAATCACCAACTGCTACATTAAAAATATCAAGTTCACAAATGTTTAAAACTGGAGAAATCGCAATTTATGTTGGTTTATTTTTGTCCTTAGCCGTGCTTTTAGCGGTTATTGCTCTAATAACTAGGCGAAAAAGTTTGAAATTTTCTACTGCTCGGGCGATTCGTTATTCTGCTTGTCTTCATAGTGAGTGATTTACTTTTTTCTCTATGTAACCAGATACTGCTTTTTGAAAATCATGAAATCTAGATGGTTCTTATGGTGTTCTGTAAATTGCGAAATAGATACATAATAACAGGCGATGAATATTAGGTTAGTGATGTTTGATTGTGATATTAGTAAGAAAGTCAATATTCTAAGTTGTTCACATTTGCAAAGAAGAAAACATAAGTTTTGAATTCAACTGAGAATAACTAATAAACAACTTAACAGAGGACATTTTAGTTTAATAATAGAGAGTGTAAATGAATGTCATACACATTTTAAAACAATTGTAATTTGTCTATCAAAAAAGTAATTAATAAGGAAGAAATGCGATGCAGTAAAAATTAAACTAAAGCCATGTAACGGGAAACCGAACTCTTGTATAAGTGTACAGATACTGAACGATTCCATATGGATTGTCACGATCTATAGTCTTAAATAGCTAAAAACAAACAGAAATTCTGTTGATAGGTAAGTGTAGAAAACACCAAAACGCTTGTGCTATCTGTTAATGATTTACACATTTTAAATATATGTCATGGTACATCGGGATATTTTATTGATGATTAGACTAGAATCAGTTTATTCTAGCCTATTTATTTCTCGATATGGATCTGCATTAACTCTCTAGTTATATGAGAAACAGCAGTTCAATATTTAGATTAGTGTCATCTGAGTATAGTGAAACTGACTAAACATCCTAGGTTTTTCATCTTCTTGTTTAATAACATAGTGTTTTTTAATTTCAAAAGCAAATACGTAAGTTCATCATACATCGGCTTAAATGGCTGTTTTCGGTTCCAGCATATTGAAGTTAACTGGAAAATAGTTTATATAATTGTAAACAAAAGAAATAAAAACTCATAAAACTGAATTAGTTTCAAGAAAACCCACCATCACCAGAGTAGATTAACAATAAAGCTACATGCCTATCTAATCTGTGAATGTTAAAACAGGATACAATGAAAAGTTCCCTCATTAGAGGGTATATGAGAATGTTATAAAACAGATTTTTCATCTATTTTAGTTCGTTATTTGATTAATCGAAGTTGGTTTACGTTTTTCTTTATGATATATGTATTACGTAACCAATTAGTGTTCAATATTACAATAGAAAATTACTTCGGCCATCACATTAAAAAAAAGCCAGACGAGAACCTATTCATTTTCCTCAATATACAATTCTAATAATTCTAATTAATAAAGATACAATTAAAAAAACTACCAAAAACAGCTTCTAGGCGTTTCTAATAGAACATGTTTCATTTAATGTCATATAAAAAGTCTTAATTAGTTATTATATTAATTTCTTATCGTACGCTTCATATAGACAGTAAGGAAATACATGTGATTTGACTAATAATTAATGTGTTGAATGGAACAATATTTAAGATATTAAGGGATTTTTATTAAGTTATCTAATTTCCCTGCATTTCTTCATTCATACATTACATGGGACGTTATGAGAATTCTTACGAAATATATTCAAGTAAATTAATGCTTTTCTAATTTTCAGCGATGCGAATGCAATTTTCTTTCCCCCCTCCAAAAAAAAATCTATGGAATAAGGAGAAGAATATATTTTGTTCCATTTATCATCTTGAAGAGATCAAGAAAAAAGATTTGAACTAAATCGCATGAAATTATTTTATTTTGTTACGTTCTCAGTAGATGCCTACACTCTCTAATTAACATAATTATTACAGTGACATTGATTAGATGTGAATATTTAACATCATAGTGTACTGATGATTAAGTAAGATAATAAAATTTGAGGGAATATAAAAGGTGTTTCATATAAATACCTTATACGGAAAGAGATGCTAGAACACTAAACATAATAACAAAAAAACATAAAGCTATAAAATGTCGATCGGGTTATGTAAGTAAGATGAATATACAGAAGTTAGTCGTAATTGATAATAGAATGTGTTGAGATCAATCAGTTGAAAATAAAATAATGAATATGAAATAAATTGCAATGCTGCAGTCAATATGAGCAAAAGGTTTGTAAACCGAGAGTCTCAGTCACTAAAACCGATTCATATGTTTCTGGTCAAATCTTCGTTTTAATCTTTACATTTTTTTATTTCGTAGTATATTTAATGCTTGTTTTAAAACAATAATTCATTTTCTAAATTAAACCAGCTCTTAGTTTTAAAAAATACTTACGATTTGATTGTATTTTGAACAGGTAAACGTTCATGTCGACAAGAGATAGCTAATAAAAAAGCCCAAGGTAAGCTACCAAAGATACTATTGTTATTTTTTGTAAATCATATTGAGGAAAAAACTACTTGCGATACAGTTATCAATGTTATTAAGAATGATTTTACTACATTTCTCTATTAAAATAATAACTTGACTTAAAAATAATCGAGTTTCATGCTAATCACATTCATCGTCGACTTTTTTAATGACAGTTATTTATATAACGAATTGGAAATAATGGATATAATACAGACGGTTTTTTGACATAATTCAGTGGCTTAATTCGTTAATGTAAAATAAATCCTTGAGAAAAGGAAAGAGTCATTATTATTTCGATCTGTCACTCTTGGCTTCTATATGTAGTAATATATATGTCTTAAAGTATTAAACAATTTTTTCAATAAAACTAAGCAAATTAAATGATAATCAAAGTTTTAAGGTGATTCGATTTATACTACTGAAATTCTAGTTTAGAACTGGAGCACTATTCAAAACGAATATATCTGTGAACTACTGAAACTCTGGTTCGTTTCAAAATAGTAGTCACTTAGTTTTTATTCCGCTTTGTCTAAAATCAATGGTAATTCACTGTATATTATTATATAGAGAAAACGTGACCAAACATCTCCGTTTTTATTAACTAACTAGTAACACTATTTAGCCAAAAATGTTTACTGAACCTTATAAAGCATAATATTTCAGCTATGAATGTGGTTGGTAACTTGACCTATGGTTGTGAACAAAATATTTGGAGATCAGGAAGTTGACACAAACCTTTTAAAATCCTAGACTCATTTTGTTGTTTAGGCTTATCGTTTAGAGTTTAATCACGAAGGTAGAAGATTAAGCTTACCAACAAAAAATCAGAAGTGCCTTATACGATTCAAGAGAGATAGGAGTTCACCCAGCTACCCATCAGCTAGATTATGACCATTTTTAAGACGTTATTATGGTTTTGTTGGCCACATTTCCTAGTCAAATTAGATCCACTCAATGTTCAGGAAAGTTTACTAACTCACAATTGGTTGATCATTGGGTGGTGATCAGTTTCATGCTTGTCTAGTCCTTATTAGTGCAGATCGAATGCTATCGATCATGTTGCAATGTGGCCACCAGTCTAGGTGACTGGACACTGCGGGTACTATGTATTGAGATTTAGATGGTGGTTGGAGGTAGTCAACAGGAAACCCTGGACCCGGGTTTCGTGCTACTTGGCACTCGTCAGTAAGGTGTACCTGTGATCTTGAGGGAACTGGTGCTCCCTGGCGGATTCGATCTCGTGTCACCCAGCTTCACAGTCAGAGACGTTACCACTGGGCTATCCGAGCCGCGACATGATCGATAGCGTTCGATCTACAGTAATAAGGACTAGACAAGCATGAAATTGATCACCACCCAGTGATCAATCAATTGTGATTACATCTCAGTCCTACCGGAGGTTAGTCACGGCTCGGATAGTCCAGTGGTAACGTCTCTGACTGTGAAGCTGGGTGACACGAGATCGAATCCGCCAGGGAGCACCAGTTCCCTCAAGATCACAGGTACACCTTACTGACGAGTGCCAAGTAGCACGAAACCCGGGTCCAGGGTTTCCTGTTGACTACCTCCAACCACCATCTAAAGTTTACTAACTTTCAAAAACACCATACAAGTAAATCATTTTATAATTTACCTGAAATTTAATTACATGAACAATAGGATGTGTGAAACGATAGATTTTATAACAACTGTATTGATGCAATCACATTTGCATTTCACAACACACTCAAAGTTACGTCACTCTGGCACAAAATACTCCGGTTAAAATTTTTTATAAACATAGGATGATTATAATCTGGCTCTTCTATAGCACATGCAACAACAAATGCAGGAGAAGACGACTAGTGTAGCAGCAGCCTCAACAGCAGTAGGTCTCAACATACACAAAGGGAAAAGCAAGATTCTCCGATACAACACAACACACACCAATCAAATCACATTTAAAGCAGAAGATTTGGAAGATGTAAGAACCTTTACATATCTGGGAAGCATCATTGATGAGCACGGTGGATCTGATGCAGATGCGAGGGCGCGGATCGACAAAGCAGGAGCAACATATTCACAACTAAAGAACATCTGGAACTCAAAACAACTGTCAACCAACACCAAGGTCAGGATTTTCAATACAAATGTCAAGACAGTTCTACTGTATGGGGTGGAAACTTGGAGAACTGCGAAAACCATCATCCGGAAGATACAAGTGTTTATTAACAGTTGTCTACACAAAGTACTTCGGATCCGTTGGCCAGACACTATCAGCAACAACCTATTATGGGACAGAACAAACCAGATTCCAGCGGAGGAAGAAATCAGGAAGAAGCGCTGGAAGTAGATAGGACACACATCGAGGAAAGCACCCAACTGCGTCACAAGATAAGCCCTCACATGGAATCCTGAGGGCCAAAAAAAGTGGAAGACCAAAGAACACATTACGGTGAGAAATGGAGACAGACATTAGAAGAATGAACAACAATTCGATAGAACCGGAATGGAAGGCCCAGGAGAGAGTGGGTTGGAGAATGCTGGTCCGTGGCCTATGCTTCATTGGGAGTAAAAGGCGTAAGTAAGTAAGGATGATTATCACTGTTTTTAATCTCGTCACACTAGATATTTTTGAGTGATTATAATCAACACTTCGAGTTGAGATAAATGATTTTTAAATAATGATTGAGTAATTTGTGGCAGAATTCACATTAGTGTTTCAAATAAACTATTGGTGTGAGTAAAATTGTTGTTATTTCATAGTTCCAAAGACCATTAGGAGCCACTTGTTTTTATTTCTATTCAACTTGGATCAATTTACTAAGATTTACTAATTTTTATATATGAAGAAAAATCAAGACTTTTGCATTCATTTTTAACCAAGTGATATCTAACACGATTTGAGTTTTTCCATCATCTACAGACCTGCTATTACCTGGTGACATGTCACAAACTATGATTACAATAATGAATCCAAGTGTGGCCGATACACATAATCAGGAAATGAACAGAATGAAACCAAGTTATAATAGTAACAATATAAATAGTAAAACGTTCGGAGTAAATGTAATAAACGGTGCAATTAATGGTGTACTATTTCAACACCAATTCAACACTACTCCAATCAACAATATTCCTCTAAGTACAGCTGGACAGAGTTTGGTCTTTTCCAATGGAACATCTTTGGGGACAGCGACGTCAATTTTAGCAAACTTACCACCACCACCTGCTCCGCCACCTCCTCCTCCGACTCCGCCACCACCACTACCTCTATCCTTACCACCGATTCCAACTACATCAATCAATTTCGATAGTAGTCACGGAGCATCAGATATTTCCGGTTATACTGGATTTCCGAGTACCTTGCCAAGCACACAACATTTCATGAATCTGGCATCTTGTCAAATAAATGGATATTTGACCTCTGACCCATATTTACAAACAAATATCGAGTTTAATAACCAAGTGGTGAATTCAGGAACTGAGTAAGTATTTATTTCCAACATTCCAGGATTATATTTGTATGCAGGATAGAAGCGAGGTTATATTTACCTGTGGCCATAATAAAAATAAGAGATTTCACGATAATACTGTAAATAATAAATGGTGACATAAATAATTTACATAATAAAATCCTCAGGTTTTTGCTGGATAGTGGACATAGTGTAAGCATCTGCAAAGCATTCTCCACTTTACAGAGGCAACTGAAATCTAAATTTTTTGACCTGGCCTATGTGTACAGAATTATGATAATAGTTTTCCGGTACCACAGTGATTATGGTTGTAACCATAGAATTTTTTACCTCTTGCATAATCGTATACTCACATGTTAATTTGATTTCGGTCCTAATCATGTTGATTAATTATATGGTCACCTATTATTCTCAATATTATAATACAGTCTTATTTTTTTCAATGGTTAAGATCATGATTATCGTGATTATCAGTAAATATAATCACACCTGCTTCACTCTTCATGAGATGCATCAATTTTAACTAAAGTGAATTATATATCTTGTGTACTATTTCGTTGATAATAATTTTCAGTTCCGTTTGAAACATTCATATCCTACTCGTTTTTAAAATATACCAAACCTTGGAGTATTAATTCCGTGAGGACATATTAATAATAAATAAACACGATGAGAAGCCTTGAAACAGAATGAATTCACTTTATATTATCGATCTTGTTGTTTTTACTTAGCTGATGAAATTATGATCACAAGTTTAAGTTGAAGAGGACTATTGATTTAATGTCCCTTACAACATTAAACCTAATGATCAAAATGTTATACCACAACAGCAAAAATTTGTGATCAGGTATAAAATGACAGTGAGTCAGTTTACAGGTTTTAACTAGAAATAAACATTTGGTGCATCATTTTTGTCAGGAAAGTGAATTTCTATTGTGTGTCACGCAATTTATAATTAATGTAGTATAAAGTCATTTATTTTAATGAGGTCTATTGCAATGTAAAAGAATATGCCCAACCTCATGATCAATAAAACTTAAGGAATGATAATAACTGATTTGTGTAATAGCGTTCATAAGTTATATGTTGAAAGGTCTTGCTAGCCACATGATTTATATATTATCTCAGCCTAAAAACCGTGGTTCAAATGAGTTCCAGTCAAACGAGTAAGAAAAAATTAATTAATATCAGATGGGTTTTTGACTCATGATCTTAAACACTGAAAAAATTAATTATCCTTATCAAATTTATTATGTATAAGTGAAGCGAATATGAAGTGACATCTTAGCTTATTTAAATACCGGTTATTTTCTAATTAAATAGAAGTATATACTTATGTTTTTATCCATAATTTATAATCAACTTGACAGTATCTGGCCTCGTAAGTTTGAAACATTGGATTCTGTTTATTAATGAGAGTAATGGAGAAGTCATGTTTCCCAATACTGGATGTCTTTTTTCTACTAGGAATAGTGTGATTCTCTCCATATATTTTTATCTTTTAATCGCTTTTAACATTGTTTATAAAAAGCAAGTCCAAATAATTATACGAATTTTCAGATGTAGGCAGTCACACGCGATCATAATTAAGTGAAAATGAAGGTGGTATTTTAGATCTTAATAATTGCTGATTTATACTAATTTACTTATAAGCTATATCATTTTCGTAAATATGATGCACAAACTAGTGATCTGGATGTTATTAAAATATATCTCTCAATTCGGTCTCATATCAGTATTAGTACAGAAATAGTATCCAAAAATCTAAAGTTACTAAGTTGGTCTAAATCTTGAAAATATACTGTATTTTTGTGGTGTTAATAGGTAACATTAATGTTACATTAAACACAAAATGAGCTAATATCTCCCCATCGATTATTTTGTTTTACTTGAACTGAAGGTATTTCAAACTTTTCGTGATTAAACAAAATATACTTCATTCTAGGGCTTTTAGTTAAAGACTCTATGAACGGAACTTGGTTAGTGTTTTGCCAAAAATCTAATAAGAATTACGTGCAGAATCGAATGTAAATGTGCTTTCCTGCCTCAAATTTAATCAGGACACTTCAACATGGCTCATATCTCATAACCAGTTAAATAATCATCTCATTTAATTAGTCTCAAATTTTTTCAATATTTTATTGAAATTTGTAGTCGTCCAAATATTTCCATTTAGAAACTTTTTCCAAGTTAAGTATTCATTTATATTTATAAATGAACTAGAAGTTAGTTGATTTATTTCATCTTGTCGTAATCTAAATAAATAGTTTCTTCTGGTAAACTGAGTGGTTTAATTGTAAGGCTTTCATTTTCCTTATGGATGCACAAAATTTAAAGAGAAATGATTTCCTTTTATACACTTTATTCAAGGTTTCCAGCCAAGTATAAGTCGATAATGCCTATGGATATTTACGTATGGGGACACACATCACAGTGACGGATTGCTATTTAGTATTAATGCAAACGAAGATGAAAAGAGCGATCACATGTCTGATATTCTGTTGACATTATTTTAAAGTAAATACAAAGAAAATTTTTAGAAGCTTGGCAGATAAATCTATAAACAACCGACATACATTGAAGTTGATCCAACTTATCAACTGCTTATTTAGATAAAATCATAGACAACTACAAAGTAAAACAAGGTTGAAAAGGATAACATTCGAAATAAATAAACAAACACTGACATGATAAGAGATAACAACATCAAGAACAACATTGTTCATTCAAAATCAGACCTGACAAAACAAGCTGTCAGTCATATATGGGGAAATTCGGATATCTCACTTCTCTCTAAAGTTTGTGCTGATGATAGCATCCATAGGGAAAATGAAAGTCTTACAATTAAATCACTCAGCTCAGAGAATGTAACTATATGAAAATTACTCATCTGAGTTATAAATTGTCTACATCATCTCAAAATACTTTCTTAAATTTTAATGAATTTTATTTCAATAAAACTTTTAAAATTTCAAAAGAAAATAGCGAATCCATTAATTTCATCTGTTTTCCTTGGATTTATGTCATCCCAGAAACTAGTGTAGTGACTATTTTAACTCATATGACCTTTGAACTTGTTCTCTTTTATTTTGTTATAAAAAGGATTTTTTTCTTTCTAATTTAGGGCGTGTATTTTTCTATTAGATTTTGTTGTCATCAGTCTTTTCTTCAATTATGAAAAGAAACACTTATTTTAGAGATTGAGAGCAATGAGCAAAGAAAATTTTCAACACACAAAAAGGGTTACTAATATTGAACAAAATTTACTTGAGGAAATAAGATGAAATGAGATAAATCTGTTGACTATTCTGTAGTAGTTAACAGTATGTACATTGATGTAGAACACAGAAATTAAACAGACTTCATAGTTGTTGGAGATTTTTAGTTTACTTTACTGAGGTAAATTGTTTTTCGTTTAAAAGTAATTAAAAAAAGTTTGATGGAAAATTTTGAATTATGAAAGTTATCACTTTGTAATCAAACTTTGTGGAATCGATAAGTGTCTGTAACTTAGTCGAACCCTCTCAATTCAGCTATATTATAACATTAGTGCAAAGATTGAGTTTTAAGATTTTGCGAATAATTGAAAATATGTTTAGTAAGTGTGTTGAAATTACATAATTTGTAACTGTAATGCTAAACTGCATTCAGGTTTCCTACTAGTTGACAGACACTTTAGAAAATGGAAGTGAAAATAAAATTAACAAAAGTAACACTACATAGTTCTTTAGTTGGATCCAGAAACTTGTACCCATAACATTTATAAAATTCATAAAGAATGTTTGTAAGAACACAATTCGTTTTTGTTGCATTTTGATACACCATTGCAGCTAAAAAATCGTGCACAATTATTACAACTATCTCTCAATGTTATTCCTCTTTTTACAGACCTACATATGTTGAATCGGAAGTTGGGTTATCCAGAATAGGTTGTGGACCACACTTCTCAACACCTTTAGCTGTTAGCAATTTAGGTGGTCCAATCGAGAGTTCTTCTGGTCCTTCTACAGCAAACACAGGTACAACTGTTACTGCAATTGGATCTTGTAATGGAGGAAGCAGTAATGGATCAGTAGGATTGCCTTTAAATAGATGTCTAACAAATAAAAGTCCTAATAACTATAACATGAATTTTTTAAACGTGGAAATTGATGAGTGCAACGAGAAATGTGAACCAGAATCTGGGCTATACCATGAATTATCTTTAGACGCTGTTTCATCTGATCGATCAATTCTATGTGAATTTAATGATCCTCTAGAATTGGATACGACTATTCGTAAAACTATATCATGCGATGGTGACCAACTAGCTTTACCACGATCAGGTATGTCCTATTATATTGTAGATTTTGCTTACTGGTATTATTTCCTTACACTGTTACAGTTTTATAAAATCAAGTTATAATATGTTTCAAATAACCACATTGTTTCAGCATCCAATGCTTGGTAAATAACGTTTTGATTTTTAAGTCACGCAAAATGCAAATGAATTACTAAATTATATAACATTTAAGATATACAGACAACCAGATCTAGTGGGAAAATCTTTTTCTGGAACAACTAACTGCTTAATATTTCATCGTTTCTTGGACAAAAGTTTTAAAGTTTTTGATTTATTAATACATGAATGAAGGTCAACATACATATGAAAATCCAATTTAAATCATTGAAGTTTTCTCCTAAAACTTTGCTAAAAAAATAAATATGTGATGTACATGAATCGTTTGTAAAACTTCTAATTCACTTTCTAGATTATGTGAAAGGGAAACTGGAGATTCCTAATAAATCTTAATTTTCCTTATAACTGAAGTCTAGGTCAGGTAATGAAACACTAAAATTCCGTTGAAATAGAACATCTTTGGTTATCTCTCGATTATTAACAACAGAAGTATAATAGGTTAGATGAGTTAGACGTGTCTGAAAACTAACTTCAGTTAAGCATATGACTTGTGATTCAATTTCATGAAGTATTTCGAAATTCTGGACGGAAACATCTAACCAATATATTTCAGTCCCAGGTGGTTACCTCTCTTGCTTTGTTCGTTCCATTTAAATGTAGTAAAAAAGACAATTTTTCTTAAATAAAAAGTGAAAAAACTTTAGTAAAACTTGGCCAGTCCAATATAACATTATATTTATTCTTAAGCTTACATAACGTTTTATATATCTAACCAGTTTCTCTGTTTTTCTTTCTCTACATTTTCCGTGAATCAAACCTCTGCACAATTTGTCGACTGAATATGAACGGGTGTGTTATTGTTCTGGTTCGTGTTTTTATCCATATATATATATACATCGATTGGGAACAGGTATTTTCTTGACCATACCACAAGGTGCGCTACAATCGAATTCACTCGTTGAAGTTTATCTGGCAGTATGTAGAGAAGATAAACATCGTCCTAAATTAGGTGGTAAGATATTCACTTTCATTATTTTCCTAAATAAAAAATATTCGATTCAGTGTATCTTTTCGAAGTAAAAACTTCATATGAAATATAGGGTGTCATTAATTCTTTCAGTGGTTCATACATTGTTCATTGATTATTATAGTTCATCCCTTTATTCTGAATTCGTTTCATTAAATCCAAATTATTTTTGTCTAAGAATACCCTTGGTTCAGACATAGAAATCTACTGTCTACATTGAAAACAACAGATGATTTCGGCAGGTAGCTGTTATACATCCACATGATCATAAATCAATATTTATCAGTGCTTTAATCCAGTAAAAAGTTCTTGACAATATCTTCAGTACCAAAAGTTACTTTAAATTACCATGAATAACTTTTCGGCGCTAAAGTAAACACCTGTTGTTTGAGAGTAAAAAATATAGCAGACACACACAATGTAAAACACATTTACCTAAATATTTTGGACGATTATAATCCTGGTCAAACATCAACAATCATTTGAAAATTTTTCATTTCTATATTCGACTGATTACTAAACTGTAAGAGTAAAATTATTAAAAAAACTAGCAAAGAACATAAAAGCAACCCAATAATCAACTTAGTAAGTTTAATAGATCTACATAAAATTTAAATCCAATACAATCGAGATTGGACACCAAAGAAATTGACCTAAAAGTCGGCTGAGATTATAATAAACACATTAAAAAGTTACTTTTTGTTGAAAAGAAGGTAAGGAAATTAAAAAGTTGGTGCTTCATGGTGCAGTTTAACTGTAATCAGGAAGACATCTCAGTATATGTATTTTTTAATTTATATTTTAATTAGTCTTAGCTTTCCTAGTTACCTCAAACTCGTTACACTAAAATATCTGATATTATTTGCAAAGTATATGTTGAAATAATTTAGCCTGTAGGTATTTTGAATCCCCACTGAGTTTTAGAAAGCAGACGTGTAATACATTTTTCTAATGGCTATTAGCTCAATGTATATAAATTTCATAATTATATTATTCACTTAGATATTCAATGAAAAATCTACTTTATCTTATCATTGAGTAAAGTTCGTGCTTGACTAATTATATGTTGATAAAGTGATTAATATCTGTGCTAACATATTAGTCGAAGTTATAATTTAGCCTAAAGGAATAACCTGAATATTACTAAGTGTTTAGTCACAACAACGTAAATGTTAATCTTCTCCATTAGACCTCGGTGTAATAATTATTAGTGCCATAGTAACCGGGCAAGAAATGGAACTTCACCTTTCTCCGTTTAGGAAGAATATGTTTTTACAAGGTTGAGTAAATCTGTATCTTAAAGCATAATAAACATCCGATTTCTTTTAAGAAAAGACTGAGAACTCTGCTGACTGATTGTGAGCAGTTGTTTTGTTTAGAATATGGCAAAATGGTAAAAACCTGAGGACTAACATGAAATAACTAAGGTTATTGTCTACTAGTTTTCAGGAAGAAGGATTCGTTACCTCAAAAAATTGAAAATCTTCGTACTTGTAACGAAAACGTTTAGTTCTCCATCTATGAAAATTGAAGCCGAGCTACCAAAAAATTTTGTCATTTACTGACAACAAATAAATCTCAAACTGCTCTGATATTACTTGACAAGACTCAGTTTTTACAATATATTCTGTTCAATCAGTATGAAATTTACGTTAGCTTAACAGTTTGCTCAATATTACTCTCTTAAAAAATTTAAAGAGACTGATGGTGCAAACAAATTTCAAGAAATTTGTCTAGTCACTATGGTCTAATGGTTTCCAAAATCATGAGGATAATGTTATTGAAACTAAAAATCGAACTGTTTCTGATTCAGTAACTTTGCAGTGTAATATTTTATGCATGAGTTACATTTTTAATTAGAGATTATGGGCTGTATGCTAGATTCAGGTCTTCTGTTTAGTCATTCGTAATTTTAGTTCATCCGCAAATCGACACAGTTAATGTATTTGTTAATGTTAAGACTTATTCAGATAAATCCAATTGTTTTTACTCACAGGTTGGAGATTAGCTCAATATTCAAAGAATTCAGTTATTTTTTTATTCAGAAACACGTATCTATAGTTTTATCCCGACAGTTTATACAAAATCAACTCAGGGGACAGGATAAACTTTATTTTATGTGCAACTACCATCTAACATCTGCTATTAATCACTGTAGGCAGTGGCTGTTAGCTTAACTACTACGTAGCATATTGTTGCCAATTTGTACATCGTTTATTAAGAAAGTTATTGCGGTGAAAAATAGAGGAAGACATAACTGTTTACTGTGGTCAATCCATGACAAGTGTATATTTTCCAACAAGTTTGAAGCAAGAAAATATTTCATAGAAATTTGTGTCAGCCTTATGCAGTCCATATAATATAACACATGAAGACTGAGGAAACTGTAAAACAATCTATATTTTAGTTCCATGTTATGATTTTTTGACGTCTGATGGTATCTGTTTTAGTCACGAGAAAGTCTGTGATTTATACGTATGAATATAATTTAATACATCACAAATGTAATGCAACGAAGGAGCGAAATGTGTTTTCTATCGCAATAAAGTGTTGTGTAGGTAGTTCATTGAAATTTATAAATAATTAGGGATGTAGAGTGAGACTAGTAGCTATTGAATAGTCGATCCATGTTGCTGTTAGCTTTTACAGATATCATCATCTGATATACTCTCCAAACAACTAATTTCTAAATTTAATTTCAAAAAGTGTACAAAGATTACAGTAACTAAAACTTATATTGAAAGGGTCTATATAGTAGGTTGCTTTTAAAAGCATACTTAGTCTAAATTATAAATTGAAAAATCGTGGAAGAATACTCAGTCAAAATGCAGTTCGTAATTATTGTCATTATGACTATGCAACCTATGATTTATAGAAAGCAGCTGGTTTATCTAATATGAGTTTTATGAATTATACGGATTATAAGGCTAAGTATTTTCCAGGTAACTATTAATTACATAAATACAATCGCTAATATAGTTTCATCATATCAAATTTAATTAGGGTTATAATGGTTGATGATCTTGGGATATAATTCTGTTCGACTTTTATAGGCTAAAAGTCTTTCTCATTTTAAGTAATAATAAAATAAATAATACGATGTTTCACGTAGATATTTTTGAATAATCAGTGTATTTTGCAAAACTTATTTGTTTTAAAAACTTTATTCGATACCAAAATTATTGTGATAAATTGTACTCTTTTTATTTGAGTGGAACGGATCATCTTTATCTGAAATGTGGGGATTCTCACAGAAATAATAAGAACATCATTTAAATGTACAGCTATAGCAGATAAGCTTAATTTTTTTTACAATTTTCAGTAGCTAGACCTTTACTAATCTTCATATAAAATGCTTTGACAAGTATATGTGTGACCAGATTGTTCGAAATGTATGGCGTGAATACATTACGTTTTTCAGATCAACTCCTACTTCTCATTGATCTATTGAAAACTAAATATTTGATTTTTAAGAAGTTACAAAGTTCTTTTGACTCTTATCTATTTTGTAGTCAGTATCTAATACCTTGTTAAATAGTCATCTAGTGAGTGTTTTGATTAGGGAATAATTCAATAGTCAACTAAATGATGAATAGGTTATTATGCATAAAATATGGCTAATTTACAACAAATTATTAATTTATCTATTTTCAATGAAAAGAATTGGTTCTTGTATTATAAACCCTATTCTCCGACTAACTAGTTTTATACCAGAAAAGGATATCTTCCAAAACAATATGATTGATTATAGAAAACATAAATAAATTAAACTATAAGAAACCAGTTGATATACTATGTTTGATAAGTTTGATTCAATGTTATCTCAATTAAGTAACTTATCGGACTGTAATAGTTGACTTACGTGTACCCTTTAGTCAGGAAAAAACGCATGACTAATTACATTTTGATCCCTTGTTTACCAACTTAGGTTCTCTGGTCAACATATTAACTGATTATAAAGAATATTTAGGTAGTTAAAAATCATAGAAATTTAGAGTATACCTAATAAGTCAAATGGTTGCAAGCACAGGGATGATAAGTCGGGTTGAAAAACAATTGTATTAGGACGATTTAAAATTGCTGTTTGATTTTAATTTATCAACCGAGATCATCTCAAGCAATTTGCACGTCAGTTCAGTTTCATTAGTTTATACTGGTAAGTATGCAGCTCTATAAATATCTAGTTTTTTAAATAGGTTGACTACTTACCATCAGCCTTTACAAGAGTGAGTAAAACCATTTGACGTTCTTCAACAGTGTAATGAGTGGCGCTGTTCACCTTGAATGTAATGAAACAAAATACTTTGTCTTAATTTACTTCATTTATAACTTAACAAAAATTTAAGATCGATATAGATATAGGTCGAAAATTTTCATAACACGTACATCAGTATCACAATATATAACGTACTACGTGAAACGAATGTATCCATATGGATACATATGTTTGTGTGCTTATAGATGTGCTTATTATTTTCCAGTGTTTCACTTAGTGCATAAATAATAACTGTAACAGGCTGAACGGGTTAATTCCATCAAGGAAAACGCGTACAGACGAGTTGTATACATATTCTAAAATGAATGTGTTCAAATGTAATGAAAAATGATGCATTCTCACATATTTTTCCAGACATAATAATAATAAGAACGATTAAGTGATTCTGATTTTTCACGACTAAACTTGAAGAAGAAATTTCATTTCTATGTTTGAAGAATTAATAACAGTGTATTTAAAAAAAAACCAATTTATGTTTCGAATAGTAAGCTTTGTTATGACTATTAAAAAATTTCGTTACGATGTTTTTATAGGGCAAATAGACTAGAAGCCTTAATATTTTGTGATCATTTTAAAGGTATATGTATATTTGATTACCCCGTTTGAATAACTGAAAACTTGAGTTTGATATATATTCCTTATGTAGATCATGGTAAGTGGTTAAAGTACTGACACTGACAACAATCAAAGAAGCTTATAAATTCTTTGAATGTGATGAATCTGATACATTTATCAGTAAAATTGTTTTCATTTGACAACTTTCTTTAAAAAGATTACTAAACGTAATTATAGGATGAATAAATTCAAACCACGTATTGTATCAAAATGATTGTTTGAAACATTTAGTCTGTTAACTCATTTCTGAAGTTTTTGATAACTGTAACAATCAGAATTAGAAATAGCGAAAACACTCTTTTCATTGTAGAATTGCAGTATTCAGGTATTGTATTTACTGAGACGATTATAATATAGATGGACATTACGAATGATAAATAACATTCGATGGTGATGAAGCTTAGATTAATATATGAGTTATTTAAGATGAAATATATAAATATCTCATCTAAAATTCTAAAAACTGAAGTCTAAGTTCCTCTATTGATGTCATAAACAATGGGGGATCCGATTTACATCAAATTATATGCGTTCATATCAACTATAGTTTAATATAAGGCCACTGAACTAGCTGACCATAACTTGATAGGTAATTGTCACAAACGAAAAATTGTAGCTGCTATTAAGTGTATGAATATCGTTTTTAGTTTGTTTACAAAAATAAAATGGTCATTCATTGATATTATTTAGAAAACTGTCGTAATTAACACATTTTGTGAGTGGTCATTGGAGCATATTTAAATAACAAGGAGAATAAAAATGATTCTTTTTTAACATCCGAGAAAGAATTTACTTATAGTTAGGTTTAGTAAAGGTAATTACTATTTAAAGTATCATTTCTACAGTTCAGAACAAGCAACAACTCCACTAAACAATTTACACCGTTTGTTGAGGCTAAAGGTTTCATGGCTGAGATCCAAAATGTTTTGTATCACCACTATATTCAAACTTATGATAAAATTAACAAGATAATACTGACATAGTATTTCAGAAGACAGAATTGAATACCACAGACTAGTTGGCAGATACGTGTAGAAAATCATTTGATATGATTTGTAATATATTTGCTTTAGATTACATTACTATATTATCATTCAAATTAAGTTGACACTTATCCATGTATTTTTGCATGCATAAGTTCTGCTATTTTATATCTATAACATATAAACTATTAAACTGGTTACAAAAATATTTCAGCTATCAATCATTTTCCGAAAAAGAAAAACATATTTAGATTATGTTATAATTAGAAAGGACATCTAAATCACTCAACTATCATAAAAACAAGTAATAAATAGGTGGGAGAAAACCAAATATGCTTACTGTGTTTAAAAATAGGTAGACCTACTTCTATATTCTGTTGTATTTGATAGGTGCTTAAAATTTTTGATCTTAATTTTGTAGTACCGTAATATTATCGTCTTTACTAATTGCTTATAAATGAAAGTAGCACTTACTAGGATTATAAAATTCTCATTTGTTGAGCTGAAACGACTATGGTCTAACTAATAGTAAGCTTTAAACCTGAAATATTCGATATAATGGTATCACCCGGCCACTAAAATACTATGGATTTAATTATCAGACTGCTTTCTCTTCATCGAAGGCCTATTTAATTCGAATACATTCATCTGGTTTTAGCTGGCAGTAAAATAGACATCCAAAGAAACATTTTGACTATCAACGTGAACAGTCTCTTCAGTCATTGTATCCTGATGAACTTATGTGATATTTGTACTTGTATCGTCATACGATCAATAGTCAAAAACTGATATTTAGGATTGTAGTATTAATAAGTTTTAAGGGATAATTATGGTATTTAAAAAAATTTAAATATAAAAATATGGTTAATTGACTAATGCTTGTTCTTTATTGTGATTTAAATAGTTCTACTTAGTTTAAACAACTAGGTCCTGGTCCCAATACTAAAGCTTTACATGCTTTTCAGATAAATTTAATGTTTTAAAGCTGATTTATCATATAGTCAAATGCTCCTTTTATAAGATATCGAACTGATATGCATGGGGTCTAGATCTTTCTTCGACTGGTTGTTTTTACTTACCAAGAATTAGCTTTGAAAATAATTCATATATTCTAGGCCAATAATTTGAAACCTGTTTCATATTTATTAAAAACAGTTATTATGTAGTTTGCAGGTATTCTTATTAAAAGCTACATTTTTTAATAGTTACTAGAACTGCAAGTCGATTAGGAAGATAATTTCCAAGGGAATGTTTTATTCCTCACTTTACATCATTTTTATTTAATCAATAATTCCCAATCTCATTAAACTAAATAAATCAAGTGAAGTAATAGTGAGGATAATAACTTTCATTAGTTAATAGTCATAACGACTACTGAACCTTTATTCTTTTATTCTTTCCCAACTGAAATTTCAACCCACCTATAAAACAGTAATAAAGCCCCAATGGAACAATTAATTGAAATAAGCGAATTTTAATATTAAAAAATAAACTCAACTACATGCTGTGAAATGACCTAAAGCCTATTTCTTCTATATAGATATCTCAAACTAAAAGTAATCCTCCTAGGCACACATCTATTTGTCTTTCAAGTCTCCATAAATATATAAAGCAGATGGTAAATAAATAAAATGTGACAAAGCCCATGTTGTTACGTTTGTTATAATCAGTATCATATTCAATATGCGGTCAGTATACTTATATGTAACTTCAATACGTGTACAGACGAGTTTGTATTGGTGCACGATAGAGAATTCATGTATTTATGTACATATAAATAAATATATTTTTGTGAATTAGTTGTGTAAACATGTGTCCATAATTTAATTTCATAGATTGTAGACATTACTTTTTTATGTCTGATAAAGTTGATTAACTTAGGCGAATCCTCATTTCGATAGCCTCAACAAGTACTAGTATTAGTAGTAATTAAAGTAAACTGAAAGAAACGATGTAAAATAAACAAAAATTCATTTATTTTTCATTTAATTAAATAAATAATAAAACGAGTTGGAAGCTAAATTAGTTCAATGAACCATATAATGTTCAACCCCTATTACTCAACTGTAACTGGTATTACATTAACTCATTTTTCAATGAAGAAGATTATTTCTTTAATCTTGAAGAACGTTGTAAATTATTTTGGTGAGAAACTGAAAGGAGAATTTGTTCGAATTCCGTAATAATACCATAGGAGATGATGAGTAAAGCTATAGCGATGAAGAAATAAACACAGAAATAAAACATGGTGCTTAAAAATCAATTCTATTCTCAATATCTGTTAGTGATTAAATTGCACTTTGTCTAGTTTTCGGTTAAAATGTTAAAACTAGGTCTGTTTAAACTGAGTCACTATTGCAGTAGCTAAAATATATGTTTTGAGTTTACCGAGTTAAAGTAGATTAATATTCGAAGTAAACGAGTTTACATCGGAAATTTATTATAACTCCTCAGTTGTCTGAATCCCTTTGTTAGAACAACTTTATTAAATTACTCGAAATTATACACACTTTGCACTATATTATGTCATAGAATTTTAAATTTTCCAGGATATTTAGGTACCAGTTTACATAGTACTTACAAAGTGTGATAAAGATTATCACCTATACGGTAATCATAACTACTGCCGCATTTTAAATGAAATGCAATCTTATGCATGACACATTTTATCTCATTAACAAACTATTAAACAACCGTTTTGAGGTCAACACACTGTCTTTCAGTTGTAATTACAGAATGTTCATAATGACTGTGGGAATTCATCCTGGTTTATTTACTATGATATTAAATAACAGCATCATTTTTGTGAGGGTTTGCATTTTCTGGTAGTTGATGTTTGATTAAAACTGCTGAAAATAAGTTTTCCTTAATGTAGTCATCATAACAATTAGAAGATGAGGTCGATCAATGTTTACTCTTTAATTATATTTTACGTTTTGAATGAATTTATCACAAAATCCAGTAAATTTATGAAATCTAATTTTTGTCAAGGATATGAAACAAAAATTCGGCTTAAACTATTCAACTTTTGTGGTTAAAATTGAACCTATGTTTCTTAAAATTTTTTGTACAGATCATCAAACGTTACTAAGTCCCGTTATTCAATTCGGACCAGTGGGCTTAAATCTGTTAAAACCTGTACTCTTATCGTTTCCTCATTGTGCTGAATTAAATCAAAGTAATTGGTTAATACGAGTCTTGGCATTAGGACCGAATTTGAATCGTTCACCTAACAATCTGAATACATCAAATATAAACGGATATAAATCCAACTACAGTGCATTACATACAAATTTTGATAATTTTATATGGCAGGTAAGCGATATTTCACACTTTTTTCCAGTTATTTTAATAGTCAACTTTCAAAACTCAATTTATTCAAAGTTAGTTTTATACACTATCTATATACTCATAGAAATAACATGACTTAATGGGTGTAAAAGCATACTTCCCCTACTTTGACAGAGAAACGGAATCCATTTAAATGCAAAGACTAAAATAGATCAGCAAACAGACAAAATAAAATAAGGTTAAGTGCCTCTTTGAAAATTCCGTAGATTTGAGAAGCCAGTAGGATCAAGAACAATATTTAGCTACAGAATCATCGGAAACCGGAATCATTGGACGGTTTTTCCATCTTACCTTGAAACAAAACTCATTAAAAAATTGAAGCTCGTAAGCTCAGTTTCTTGCGGAATCATGGATACGAATCTTGGACGAGCACTGTTGAGGAGCCCGACATTAGGACGAAACGGCCATCCTGGGCCTCAAGATTTTTAATGGTGCTCTAACACCAACTGGTTCATGATCTCAATCAAAAACTTAATAATCTCCACAATCCTATACTGATAATAATCACATAATTATAATCGTACAGGAGTTTAGATTGGTGTAGTCAAGATATGTTGGCATAAACATCAATTATCTTTTATTCAGATTGGTAGAGTACAACTTAATTTACTTACTTGCTTACGCCTGTTACTCCTCGTGAAGGAGCATAGATCACTCACCAGCATTCTCCATCCAACCCTGTCCTGGGCAATCCTTTCTAGCTCCGTCCAGTTGTAATTCATCGTTTTCATATCTGCTTCTATTATCCGACGCAATGTGTTCTTTGGCCTTCCACTTTTTCGCTTCCCTTCAGGATTCTAAGTTAGGGCTTGCCTCGTGATGCAGTTTGACGATTTGCGTAATGTATGTCCTATCCATTTCCATCGTCTTTTCCTAATTTCTTCCTCAGCTGGAAGTTGGTTTGTTCTCTCCCACAGAAGGCTATTGCTGATGGTATCCGACCAATGGATGTTGAGTATCTTGCGTAGACAGCTAAAACTAGGTGGTGATCTGAAGCTACGTCAGCACCTCTCCTGGTTCTCACATCTTCCATTGTCCTTCGGAATTTTTTGTTGATGCAAATATGATCTATTTGGTTCTCTGTAGTGTGGTCCGGTGAGATCCATGTAGCCTTGTGTATACGTTTGTGTGGAAATATTGTGCCTCCTATGACCAATTTGTTGAATGCACATAGATTTGCAAATCTTTCTCCATTAACGTTTCTTTCTCCCAGTCCATGTCGTCCCATAATATCTTTATATCCAGTGTTGTCTATTCCGACTTTGGCATTTAGATCTCCCATCAGAATAGTTAGGTTCTTTCTTGGGCATTTCTCTATGATTGACTGCAGCCGCTGGTAGAATTGATCTTTAATGTCGTCGTTGCTATCATTGGTGGGTGCATAACATTGGATAATATTCATTAAGATCCCCTCCTTCTTTGTTTTGAATGGTGCTTTGATGATTCTGGATCCGTGAGATTCCCATCCTACAAGTGTATTTCGTGCTACTTTGGACAGCATAAGAGCGACTCCCTGAGTGTGTGGAGCATTGTCCTCTTCGTGACCGGAATATAGCATCATCTCTCCCGTAGCTAGCCTTTTCTGTCCAGCTTGGGTCCAGTGTGTTTCGCTGATTCACAGTACTGCTAAGTTGTACCTCCCCATTTCCATTGCTATTTGACTGGTCTTCCCGGTTTCCCACATTGTTCGAACGTTCCATGTACCTATAAAAATTTTTGCTCTGGTTGTTAGAAGGGGCATCGGCCTCGTGGCTTCCGAAGGAACTCAGCTTTCACCATGAAGCGTCATAATTCTTCTAAATGAAGACCTTCTAACTCCCAGGGCAGAGTTAAAATGGTTTGGATTATTTTTTCTGGTAAGCGTTTTTTAGCAAGTTAGTTTTCTACGGGATGGGGACGCTAACCCCATGCCCAACCCTCCTCCTTTACCCGGGCTTGGGACCGGCAGTAACCCTATAAGAGCTACAGGCGGAGTTGGTAGAGTACAAGTCAAATCATTTTTATTAAACAGCTTATGTTGAATTTACATAACCTGACAATAATCTATTCGACTTCTGTATAAAAATCCAAATTAATAACTTTTACATATGATAAATTGAAAGTGCTCCAGAATGTTTTAAGTATTTTTACCAGTGCAAGGAATACAAAATGTAAATTTTACTTATCAAAGCAAATAATAAGATTTCTTTTTCTTGTAATTATTACGAATAATAAAACGAAACTAGATATGTATGTATATATAACATTTAAAAACAAAGAGATGAAAATATCTTCTCTTTTTTTAAAGAAAAACATTACCCTACAAATAACTTGTACATTCTTTTGACTTGATAATACAATAGTCATCGTTATTGCTGTTTTTGTAATGAGAAGAAAAATAGTAGTAAAATTAATATGTACTTCCAACTTCCAACTTCATTCTCTTTCTTTTTTATATTCACTCTATAATGAGATTATTTCACCACCCTTGCAAGAAGAAAACTTGAATATACCGTGTTCTTTTTTAGCTTTCTACCTCCACATATTTCTTTTCAACTGTCTATCTACATCATATAAATGATAACAAAACTACTTTGACAAGAATAAGCAACTGACATTTTAATCATTAATTCATTTAAGTAGTATAGTATGCATATACATATAAATGTATTCAGAAATATAGAGAAATTTGATCTGTTCTTGACAGTAGAATTGTCGGTGACTAAACAACGAAATATAATAACAAATTTGAATGTTAGTCATAGTTTTAAATTCCCCGAAACATAAGCAACTTGGAACTCATTGAGCGCTCACAACCCACCGTTTTTTCTCTACCATTTCTACAGGAAATATATTACTCGAATGGCCAATTACGCCTCCCTTCACATTATTTCTCAGTTATTATATATTTCACTACCTCTTATTCTGTCATAGAACTAGATTCAGTATATATTGATGACAAGTAACGAAAATACGGTATGGATTTCAGAATAAGTTTATAAATATACATGCTTATATATATATATATATATATATATATATATATATATATAACAAAAATACTCAATAATTCAGCTAAGCGGTTGGGTTTAATACTGTTAGAAACATATTGGTAAGTCCTGCGACGCTGTGTAGTATTCATATTTCGTTCCTTACCTAAGGATAGTGTTGAACAAGTTATCAAGTAGCTAATTGTGTACGATTTTTTCGAGATAAATAGGTAATAAATTTGTACTTTTTAATTCTCTCTTTTTATAGGAAGTGGGAATAATTGGTTATGAATCAAATGTTACTAAATTCATTTGTCACCTTGACTCAAATATGGCACATCTGATGACTGATGTTGCACGGCGTTATTGTCTAGTTGGTGAAACACAGAAACTTCTGGGCGGTAATCGTTTAATATCAAACCATAAAAATTTAAATCATACAGAATTCCAAAATTTTCCCAATGGCATAAATACGAATGGCTTGCAAAATATAAATATCACAAACTTTACTAATAACAATAACACTGTGACAGATAGTACACAGGATAGTGGATTATTATCTGACATTCAGCCTGCAACAAAAATTTTGAAATTAGCTGCATTTTCCGGACCACTAACACCGACAATTGACTATAATATAAGAGTTTATGTGCTAACAGATACTAAAGATGCATTGGAACATGTTTTATACGTCGAGAAACGATTAGAAGGAAGACTGTTAGATGATCCAAAGTCATTATTATTCAAAGACAATGGTGGAGGGTTGTGTTTTTACATTGAAGATATTTCTCCTGGATGGAGAAGCCGATTACAAACTAAATCACAGGTTTGTACACATAACCATATTCCTGATGATTGTTTTGAAAATCTCATTTCGTTAAATGAAACTAAATGAAAATGCGAGACTTGTTTGTAGCATGTGCCTACATTTTGGTGGGCTTCAGCCTTTAGTGTGCTTTGAATTTCGACTTTTAGATATTTTGTGCCTATGTGTACACTATCCGTACATATCCGTTGTGTTTGTCATATTGATTTCTTGGATTGGTCATATTAGTTTCAATATTTAATTTGTACACCTGTGATGTTGCTAATTACTTTTTAATAGTACTTTTCTCACTACCACTACACTGTCATCCTATCAAGATATAGATCTGCATATATATATATATATATATATATATATATATATATATATATATATATATATATGAATACTACACTGATAATATGAAGCTCCTGATTGACTTTTGAAGCATTCATTGAATAGGTACTGGCATTATTTGACCTGTAAATAGTGATTCAGAAACAAGTATAATTCGGATTTATATAATGATAAATAGATAACGAGTAACTTTAGACTTTTTGATAGGATTAATCACATTGAAGACAATAAGTACACCATTAACCAACATTGCTTATAGTAAATATATTTTTGTTATATCCCAATGAGTAGAAAAATTATATTTCTGACGTTTCGTGATTTAATGTAAGCCACATCTCCAGAGTAAATAAATGGTCAAATTAAATTAACACAAGTTTGAATAGTACAAAGGAAACAATGCAGAATATTTTTCAGTCATATTCCTATCAGATTAATCATTCTATAGTCTACACCAGGTAAAACTTGGAATTAAACTTTTAGTTATATTGTTGAACTTGCTGTCTACGGAAACAACTAAGACACATCAGACAAAAAGAGAAAAAAGATCTTGAATAGCTTTAAGAGCTAGACTCATAGTTTATGATGTAAAGTTACGTTAATGAGTTACCTAGGCATGGTAACAATGGGATATATTTTGATATGTACAGGTCATTTTTATCATAGATTTATGTGATTTATTTGGAATTCAATGGTTCAGTTTTCAAGCTCAGTCAATGTATAGCTGCTGAGGAATTCTTATGTGGAGTTCAGTAGATATCTGATGCTGCATATTCTGCTTTGGTACTCTAGATGATGTCAGTTTCCGAATAAAACTATCTACAGGTTAAGAAAATTCACAAAAACCTATCATCTTAAAAGACTACTATATCATTTAATTATTGACATCTCTATTTGGTTAGTTTTCTAAACAATCACCCATATAAATTATTTTAACTAATAAGCATTTAATTATTGTTTCCTAAACTTTCTGCATACAGGAAATACCATTCCGGCATATCTGGAATGGTACACAAATGTCTACGCTGCATTGTGCATTTTCACTTGAACATTTGGATTCACGACAGCTAAATGTGTCGTGCAAAATTAAAGTTTATCAAGAGAATTCCCAATTACAAGAGCAAATTTTAAAAATTTCAAACCAAAGATTTGAGGTAAATGTGATAATTTTTCTGATTTTCAGAAACGTCCATGTTTTAAATTTGTTCAATATAAGTATGCATATGATACTGTTCACAAACTACAGGAATTTGTGGTACTATAGGACTTTATATGGTAAAATTCAGCTGCAAAAAATCAGTTTACTTTAAATGTAAAGTAAATCAATAAAAGATATCTTCATTTCAGACGGAAAAATCAAATAGCATTGTTACCTTTATACATAATAATGAATATAATGACAAAATGAAGAATTGTGGTCTTAATGTTAAGAGAATACTCTCTTTTTCGTTGAAGAGTTCTGTGAGCTAATTGCTTGTTTGAAATTTTCTACACTCTTATTTGCTTGGTAAAATAAATAATTCAAAATATTTTTTGTATTTGTCGTTTTATCTTTGTCAAGATAACCACCTTGGGAATATAAAGACCCTCACATAAAGTTACTGCTAAACACTAAATATTATCGAATAAGTATTTCTTTCCCTAAGGGCCTCATCATATGGACACTACTAAATATTAATTTTGCCAGATCCAATTCTATTTGCGTATTAATGAACTGTGGTTGTTGCATTTATTTAATTAGATTTTGTTTCATTCCAAAGCAGACTTATACCCAATATGATTTTTTGTGCGACAAGTTTAAAGACATACACGTTTTGGGGATTTTTCAACCGGGAATGAGTGATGTATCGTTCAGATGTTTTAACTAAATCTACGTAAATGTTTTTACGTTGGAAGCATTATGATGCCAAGTTAAGACAGAAAACATACCCAGAATAAATATTATAATATTTGAGAAGAACATACAAATTGTCTGTTAACTGTACACTACCGAACATTTGACCTGAATAAATCCTTACAGATTTTACTACTAACTTTCTTGAACAAAGAATAACTTTAAACCATTCAAATTTTTCCCAGCTGAAAACCGAACATTCAAGAACAAGATTCTTCAGTTCCGAAGACCGTAGTTCAGATATTCGCTGTTTCCCTAGTTCGTATCGGTAAGTTAAATGAAAGCAGCTTGCTTTATTTAAACTCATTGTTATCAATTTTGAAAATATCTTGTTCATCAAAATTTACGTCATAACATAGTTTCGCATTTTACTTTGAGTATTATTTTATGTAAATTCATATTTATTCTAGTTGATTTCAAAGTTTGAAAATATTTCCTCTATAAGAAACTAGATAAAAGCTATTTTTACACATTTTCTTACATATCTTCATCCGATTATCCGAATAGTATTCGTTTAGCTTGACAGTGGAATTATAATCGGAAATACTCTAACTAGAAACTCACAGAGATGACCAATTTGAGTTAGATAGAACTCGATGAGCACAACTAAATAAATTGTACTTGAAATTCGTAATAGGGGAAGAATAATATACCAAGGAATTGATTAGCATGAACAATAGAATTTACCCTTTTTTAAATGAAAATATCAGAACACTTGTTTTTTTTCGGCACTCCAAAAGTTTAACGGTCATTCTTCCCAAAATGTATAAGTGCACAATACAAAAAACATACCTAGTTTAAAACAAACATATCAATTGACTACTGAATATTGTAAAAGTTTAATATTGTGTTGAAATACCGACTTTTATATCAAATACAATTTTGTTTAGAACGAAAGAAGTGACTGAATCAAAGTGTTACAAAGAAAATGGATACCACTTTAGAAACTATTTTCAGCTGAGCAATTTGATTTACCTGAAAGTCATTAGAAGCAAATAGTGATGTAATAGACTGAATATAAAGTGTATGGTAGTCCAGTTAGTTGATTGAGTTTTATCAAACCTACAAATGATGATTACTCTAGGGATTAGTTCATAATAACGAATGAATTTTTTCCAAAGTTTTTTATATTGATTAGTATGGCAGCAATAGTTTTAGTAATTAAATTACGTTTAAATAAATTGCTTACGAAATTATATTACTTGTTTACTAATATCTCTGAAATTCTCTTAGTATACACTGAATATTTAGTGTGAATGAGTGTAAAACAAACAAACAACTAAACTGTAAATTTAAAGACTGAATAAATTAATCTACTATGTAATAATAAGCGAAAACTGAGATGTCCGAAAATGTCCATACCGCTCTATTTATTACTTCAATTTCATTTCTAATTTACACTTGAAGAATGCCAGAAATATCTGTAACTGTGTTCATGTGAGGCTTATTTGTTTATGTATCTTTTTAGTTACTCACTTAACAAAATATCATATTTGACTTGATATTCAAAATTCAATTTTTGGTAATATAGTATGTCAAAGAGGATGAATACGCATGAGAATTTATCTTAACATAAGAAACAACATGCGATGTATGGAATCAACGTTTTGATATTTTTGTTATATATCACATTTATTACACCTAAATTAAAATGTTGACTGATTTTGAGGGAGGTTTCTTGTGAAGTAGAGTCGTCGGAATTGACTAGATGCTCCAAGGTTGAGATTTTGACTGATTTATGTAATTCATTTGGAGAGCCAGAAAGGGTAATGTTTGGATGATGATTGTTTATGGAATAGCTTGATGAGATTTACAATTCTCTGCAGTAAAGAATCGGGTCTATTTACCATCTGTATTTGGCACCTATTACGACAATAAAAGCGAATAAATGGAAATTCCGTAACCGAGCAAATTTTAAACCTAATCAAAATTTACCGTGAAATCATCAAAAACATAACTTTTCACTCAAATCCAATAAACAGGAAAAACAACTCTTTTAACTGCAACTGCTTGAACAAAGCGCTACTGACTTTGTTTGAATCAAAAGGACGCAACAGTGACGAACCATCAAAACATAAGGTGAACTAGTTGTCATATTAAAATCGTAGAATAAACAAATCATGTATATATATATATACATATATACTTTGCACAATAATATCTTCAGTTTTAAACTGAATTATAAAGCATAAAATTTCTAAGACAAGCAACGTCAACTCAAAAATAATGCATAAATTATTAAAACTGTAGATAAAAGCAGGCAGTATGATGTGTAAAAATATACTCGTCTTAAGTATTTTGAATATCCTTTTCTAACTACGAAGCCGGTGATGAGATGATCAGGTGTTTTAAAAAAAAAATGTTTTTATTTACTTTCAAATACTATTTCGTCGATAAAGTCGAACAATGCAGAAAAAAGCAGATAACAACCGTTTACGATCAGTGGTTATTAGGTTAATATCCCATGAATGTGTTCATGTTGTCTCATTATCCGTTTAAATGAATTGTGTAGTCCTGTGAAAGAAATCAGAAAACAGTATGGTAAATGTGTTAGTAGTCAACAAAGAAATCACACTACCCTATACAGTCAATTATAAAATTTGGTAATTAATGATATAAAGATATTAGACTGACAGAGTAGTGGAATGCTAACCATGCTATCTTTCCGTTTGTAAATATCAGGTTTAAAGCGTTTGAGTATGTGAGCCACCGTAAAGGGATTTAAGATCAATGATCTTTATTTGTTTATCTCAATGAAATATTGAAATTTACCTAAATGATCTCCAGTCTCCATTAGACTTTTGGTTTCTCGTAACATGCACCTAAAACCAAATAAATGTTATTCCACCAATCTTTCCTGTATACTTGTTTTCAAAAGTTGGTAAACATTGTTCCAGTGGACATAAGCAGAGAAAGTATCTAAAGTACGTCGGATTAGTGAGCATATAGCATTGTAAATTGAGACACATCTAGTTGTGTGTAAGTTTTGTTTCAATGCAGTTTTTATTCTTCTGTCTATTGCTTTTTGGAAAATAACTCATTCATATTAAGAAGCCAACTATGTCTCAACAGCGTGTTGTCTATTTTCTCCAACAATATTGGAATAAAATATTACAATGAGTTTCACAATTACTGACGAAGCTTAATCTTCATCAAGTAGATTGTGTTTATCTACCAGTATAAACATGACTTCTTTACTGTGTTGAGTAGCACTATGATATAACTGCACTTGAAACTTAGTTACCGGTAGTAGTAGATAGTATTTTTGATTAGAATATCCTCTACGTGCCTCATATTAACATCTTTAAATTTGAAATAATTGATAAACTGCAATGCAGACATAGATGTGCATGGCGGATATATTTGAAAGCAGTAATCATAAATAATCAAACTACCACTGACATGTTTACTACCTGAAAACCCTACGGCTCAACTGTAAGTCTACCAGTACATTTGGTAGTTAACTTATACTTCAACGTTCAGTGGAACATAGAGTGGAACGTTAGAAGTTGCAACTTTATCTTTAGTCATATTATCGTAAATGCTAATGAGATATAAAAGTAATTCAGCTTTCAAATGTACTAAAATTCATCTCTTAATATTCTGTTAATACTTTCTAATTGGCCTGCCGATTGACAAATCATTATATGAAGGAGTAGCTAATCTATCAATAATATGGGTCTTGGACAGAAAGATTCAGTTTGATATTTTGAAAAGCTACACAAATATGAGGTGTCAGTCACTTTTTTAAAGTCATGAGTTAAATTTTTTGAATTTATTGGGTGTTCCCTCTTACTGTGCTTTAAAATGAGACTGAGGAATTCTTTTAAAACGATGTTATATTCAAATCACGACTGATCAATCATAATCGGTAACGTCTGATTTACTTTTGTTTATTCACTCTTCTTTAGACAATATGAGATAACCCTTGATGGAACTTTATAAAGCTTTCGATATATTATACAATATGTGTATGCCATCAGACCACTTTATATTTTTCTCAAAGTAGATCACTTGGTAAATGAAGTAATTAAATAACAAACCGCTTACCGTTAGCCTAATTTAATTCACGAGCACAACAGAATTGTGCGCTATTATGAACTGATTATACAGTAATTTAAATTAGTTAAAATCAATAAAAACACTTTTAAACTATGTTCCATCAAGATTCATTGTCTGAGACATTTGTACACACTATTATAAAGAGCAACGTTTACACCATGAAATGAAAGCATGAACATCACTACAAAAGTATGGACATTTAGATTACTTGTTTTGTCTGCTCAGCAGGAGGTTATATATATATTTTAAAGTATTTCTGATGATAATATTTGATAAATAAAATAAACTAAAAAAGAGAAAACCACATACGCACCGTTATATTATATTACATCATGTGGAGTCAAATGACATACAGATTGATAGGATGAAAGCAAAGGAGAGAAGGAGAGATAGAAGAAGCATATATTTAATGTATTTTAAGTAGTATCCATTCCTATTTCTTATACTTATGGGTACTAGGTAACCATATGATTTATCCCTAGTTTATCTACACGTTTAAGTATATGTACAGAAATTATTTTTTACGTATCCAGCAATGGATATTTGCGTGACCACTGTAAATGGAATGTTCTCTGAGCAATAAACACATTTATAAGTGTTTATGACCAAATACATTTTTAGGCATATGTGTTACTGTTTATTTTGCTTAAAACATCCGAATTATTATTTAGTTTCAATGTATTTCTTTTTTCTCTTACCTTTTTCCTGAAATTAGACTTCCTGTAGTGACTACTCAAAGACTGTGTAAACTGCTGGATACTAAAGAAGGTGAATGGCAAAAACTAGCAAAACATATGGGAATGGAGAGGTTAGTTTATAATTTGGTCTTCCAACCCCCCTAAAGAGCACACTACAACGATATCATTATGTTTATCTCCCAACACAGTAATATCTGATTCTGTTTACCAAAATAAAGTTCATATTATCCTCGTAATATATTGAGATGGGACTTTAATTTTATAGACGGGCACTGATAAACTAGGTGAACTCATAAACAACGATAGTCAAAAAAACATGACAACAGTAAATGACTAACAAATAATCAGTCGTGAGACTCAATGTCTGCTTAGTGTCTAAGGTAGTCAACTTTCAATCAGCAGATCAAGGGTTCGAACTCGGCTCCAAACATATAAGTGGTTGTGAAAAGCTGATAGTAAGGGAAATCATAATGCAACCAGAGTGTCTTAAAGTTATTGACGTGAACCTGTATGAAATAAATTATTTGCATGCCTATATTCTTATGAACCCTGGTTCTTCCTATGCTCAGTAATGACGAGTGTGTTTCACAACAATAATTCTGATGGTTGCCGTATAGCTATAGGATAAGCATACACTCAATGATCCATGCATATTCTTTCTATCCTTTACAGTTATCGAGGTAAATGAAAGCTTACGATTTGGGAAATATAAATATACTGTACGCCAATTATTTAACACATACACATTAAAAACATGTATAAATAGATTCTCTGTAGGATAACTCGAAAACGCTTCATGGTTTTTACCATGCATGTTTCTAAGGGGTGCTATTTCCGAAACGCTGTGAAAAAAAATTATAATTGAACCTATTTAGATTGTTGTTCTTCATTTTAATTGTAGCATAAAATTTCCATTAAATACAGACTTAAGTTATGAGGCATAATTCGAAAACGTAGTGTATTATTGTCTCCAAGTAATGTTTAGAAACCAGGAGTAAGCTTAAAAATACATTGAATCAAATTTTTAATAAACATTTTTCAGTGATATGAATTTTATACCATCCACATTAAAGGACAGAATATAAATAATTAGCTACACTGAGTTCTGTAGAATATGCCCCTACTCTTCTCAGCAAAGTGCAAAACTTCTCACTGGGAATTAATTTCAGATCCTTTAAATAATGCTTAAGACCCAGGACTTAGTGAATGAATAGTTGAAGTGGAATTCTTTGTGTAATTCTCTTTCAATTCAGTTAGTATTTAAGGTGAACTTTGATTAAAAATCATCTCAATAATGCAACGTTCATGTGAAATTTCTTGATCAGTAAATATTTTTAACATTGAACTTCAAACTTTACTACAGATTCTTGTTTTAAAAAATATTTTTTTAGGTATATATTTTATTTGAAATCACAGCCAAGTCCAACAACAGTCCTTTTAAATATGTGGGAAGCTTGTAATCGTAATGAACCAAGTGTGAATGAATTAAAAACTATATTCACCGCCATGGATCGAGCAGATTGCGCAAATCTATTAGACTGAGATATAAATAAACAAAACAGTCATCCTTAATTTCAAAAAAATATATAAATTGAAATAGAAATATATATATAATCACAAATGCATACATACAACAAATAGATACATTAAATTGAAGAGATGATACATTTCCAAAATACATATCTTTAATTATGATTTTATTAACTCCGGAGTCCTAGTGCATTTAGAAATAGTAATGGTCTGCGTTCTAATGTATTACCTGGTACACAGTTAACATAATTTCCTGCATCAAACAAATATATAATACAAGTAATATGAGTAACTTTTGCTAAATTTCAGCAAGCTGCTGACAAGTCTTTCTTTATATCCAATGTTCACCGTAAACGATTAATTTCTACACTGATTAGTACTGCCCATGGGTTGTTCATAACCGGTAATAAATTGGGAATACCAAAATATACATCAAAAGTAATTCAATCGAAAAAAAATTAACATCCAGATATACCATACTATAAAATGGAAACTCAGTGTTCAATCACTGACAAATTGAAGAAATTGCATTTAATTTTCACAACGAATTGTGATGTTGATTAGAGTCTATATCCCATACACTTTGAATAAAAGCATAAATAATTATACAAGTATTCGGATTGGAAAAAATTCAGCAATCTCCTTGTATTAATACATGAAACTTTTTTTTTAGTTCAAATAAGCACCGAGTTATATTTTGCCATCTACGCCCTTTTAATTGCCGTCTTGTAAGTGTTTGCTTATATAATATTTATGATTTGTACAGAAAACAGTTTTGAAGTAAAGAAATCATCATGAACGCAACAATTGTGAATAAACGAGAATTTATAAAATTTTGTTTTGTTTTATTAGATGGCTTTCCTTTGTATTTCTTAGGTTGAATTTCAAAAATACGTTACAGATTCTAGTTTCTTTTGTGCACTACGCTACTTGTAAGTAGCGTAGAAAGAGATAGAGATGAAGAGTGATCTGAACTATGACTTCTTGTAAATAAAGTGTGTAGTAGGAACATATTGTTACTGCCTTGAATTAAAAAATAAACAAAATGTCATGGTTTTCTTCACTAGAGAAATACTTCACATTTTTGAAACTGAATAATATGTCGTTTATTTAGTTCTAAAAGGTGTATCATATCGTTTCTCAGCATTGAATTTCAGGTGGTTCGATACTAATATGATGTCCTTTCATTAGTTAGATTTCCATAAACACTAACTTTAACGTTAGTAAAATATTTCTGGATGATCTTTTATTTTCAGCGGAATTCCAGTTAGATTCTAGGATTCAAAGATGGAATGAATAATGATTTTTTAAAACTATCCTTATACTTAATAAAAATAACGATAATGGACTGTTTATACAATATTTTCTAGTAACACAGATATGTCGAAAGAATTTAATTAGTAATCTAAATTTAAGATATTTTGAAACTATTTATCTCAAAATATATTGCTATATATATAAATATGCTGTGAACCTGTAGTATTTCAATGAACAGTCAGTTTTGATGGTGCCACACTACAAGTGTATTTGCTAGTTATTCATATTATTTCAGTTTTCTAAATATGTGCCAGTGACGTTCATTCGTTAATTGTTTCTGTTTGTTTTTTCGCAATAAGTAGGTTGAGTACCCACACAGATGAAAGCCATAGATATAATTGAAATTCTATCATATATTTAAGGAAAATGATTTCTTAAGGCACAGGGTATGAACAATTTTACTGGGATTATCCCCAGAGAGTTAAATACTTTGCTTCAACCTGGTAAACGAGCAATAGCCTTTGATTATGAAGAAGTGAATGAGATTTCACTTGCGTTATTTCTCAAATGACATACTGACTTAGCTCTGAGTTTTAGTATAGTTGAATGATTTGTTTTTTCATACCAAACTAACTATAGATGGAATGAGTAGGATTTAAAAGCATTTTTTGAAGAAATCACCAGTATAACCATCCGTACAAACAGTCTTGTGACTTTACTGGAAATTTCTTCTGATAATCCTTTATATAGTTAAAATCTGTCCAATCTAAAAAAAGAAGCTAAATTTCAGGAAAACATTCAAGTAAACTAAATAAATTTGCAATCTATAGCTAAAGGAAAGAATCTGATGATTAATCATGGATCACTTTAAGGGAAATGTTTCATGACTATATGCTCAAATGACATTTTGAATATACAAATGCACAAATATATTAAGGCTGAACTCTATTTGTTTCTTTACTTGAGAAAGCTGACTCATTCAGATAAATTTAATGAAATTCTTAAAACGATAGACAGAAAAAATATTTCCTGCTTAGGAGTTGTTTTAGTTAATTACCAACGATTAAAAAGAAAACTAAAAACACAATAGTCACGCTTTATTTGTTATTGTCTATTAATTTCTTTGTGTAAATAACGTTACATCCATGTTACCATTTCATGTTGGTAACATAAAGAATAGAAACTTGCTACATTATTCAGGTGAACAAATTTGTTTTTCTGATGAACAACAGTTTGAAAATAGAAAAACAATTAACTGTATGTTGTCATGTTTAGTAGAAATATAGCAGTGAAATTAATTCCTTCACTAATCATTGTACACAACTTGTAAGTCTTCTAATGTTGAGAGTACTTTTTTTATCAAATAAATTACGTACTACCTATATACCATGTAAAAAAACTCTTACATTTAAGTTAGGGTGTTGTCAAAATGTCAGTGTGAAAGGATTTTCGTCTTAGAATAAACTAATATAAATACAGTTCAGTTAATAATAATTATTTATCACTTTATTGACTAATTTCATCGAAATACCTGGTGGAAGTAAGAAGGTATAATAATTCAGCACCCAAATACCATGAAACATTTCTTTCAAATTTAGGTGGAGGTTCTTATTTGTTAATAGAATCATGCTTCAAAGCCTAGTATTTATACGAATTCGAAAGCTCTCATTAAATAATGCTGTTCCTTATTTTAGTTATCGATGATTAATTCAAAGAAGCTTAAATTTCATTGAGAATTATGTGAAGCAGAATCGATCATAATGTGATCTATTCAGCACTGAATACAACAATATGATGAAAAACGAGTTTCCTGTGTTTCATATTAACACCAACAGAGATGCCTGAAGACGTACTTGTGAAATCTGGTTAAATTTAACGAAAGTTAGAACATGAAAATATACCTAGATGCGTCTGCTCGGGTCTAATTTTCCGTGAATATCTTTGACAGTATGAATATTCTTAGCTCATACATTTGTGTAAATAATTACAGCAAATGTTAATTGGATAAAGCGCTTAGGTATACTCAAGAATCACTTTGCTGAAAGGCAACTCACTACAAAGAATAATTATAACTCTGATCGAATACATAAAATAATCTTGAAATTACAGTTATTTTTTCATATTTTCAAGTCAGAAACTATCAAGCTAGAGATATGCATTCAGATTCCTCGGCTTCGATCCACGAGTTTTTAAACCGTTGTTTATCCATATATGTAATTGCTAGTTTTCACTAGTTCACTTTATCTTATTCAGA